TCTTTGGAAAAGACAAATCCACAGTAAAATTGACTTACCTTACATTTTACAAAAAAAAAACCCAAAACTTTGATCTAAATTAATCTCTTTTGTTCCTGCCTGAGAGGCTTTATACTCCTCCAGAGGATTACAGAGTAGAATTTTCTGCGACGTCTTATGGCCACTATGTATGTGTTAGTTTCTATTCAACAGTCAATTTGATTTGTTTTCTTGAAGGAAGGCTTTATTTAAAAACTGTATTTCTGCACAGAGCTGGTCTGTCACTGGACTTTTGTCTTGAGCTTTATTTGAAAGTAAAATTGGGAAAACCTTTGAGAGAAGGAATAGAATATAAACAAAGCCAACCTTAACAGCTTTGTTGCTAGAGCTCTGTTACTATTTTCATTTAATATAATGGCATCTGTATTCACAGAAGCAACAAAAAAATGGAGACAGAAAGGTGATTGGATATGCTGAATTTGATTCAGCACACAACAGGCTGCACCATGTTAATATTAAAAGATCTATAGAGCATAAAAAAAACAACCCAGATGAGCAAGATGTCATGTTTCCTATCATAATTGTCATCAAATTCCAAGTTACCTTAGAGTAAGCCTTGAAATACAATTACAGATACAAGTGGTGAATGCTCTCATGTGCAAGAACTATCATGGCGGTAGGTATTCTGAAAAGTGTGCAGGCAACCTGAACAAAATCTCAGTGCTTCACTCTATATTCCTGAGTTACCAGAGTTACACAGAGGACCACGAGATGAGCTGACCTTCCCCATCCATTTGTGGGGTTGCCTGAGGTCAGAATGAGAAGAAGAGGGTACCTAAAATGTGATAAAAGGGAAAAGGAGGAGGATGTTGAAAATGGTGTAGAAGCTCACGATAAAGAGGAGATAGAAACGCAAGAATGCGGTACCATGAGATAGAGCAGAAGATACAAAGGTAAAGTGATTTTTGACAGCATCAGCAACAGAGTCAAAAAGAAGTAGCTCAAGGAAGGAGATTATAGTGACCTCAATAAGCAATCTGCGGTAGTGAAGGAGGGCTGAAACAAACAAGAAATTGGTTTGGGATAACCAGCAGTAAACACTATTCCAAAAAGTGTTTAGAAGCTCGAAATAGCTGTAGTCACGTGTTCTTACAAAAGCCCTCAGCCTGTAACCTCAGTCTGTATTCTAAAAAAGCCAAAGTTCCATAACTTTGGTTTATTTCTGTTACATAGGCTATGGCATACTTCATGTGGCACTTATTGTCCAGCTCCAGGTGTTTTGTTTTTCTTTTGTTTTCTCCATCCAACATATCTATTTCTGAGTATAATTCAAATGGGGGTAAAAATCCCCAAACAAACCCCAAGCATCTTAGAAGAACATGGGTCAGGACATCATTTGAAGATGCTAAGAACATATACATCCCCCTGAATTCTCTGCATATTAACTGCTCACCTCTGAGAATGAAAGTAATACTCAAAGCAGGCTGTAAGTAATGTCTCATGAATTTGCTTTAGGTGAACCAGGAGAAAGAGGAGAAAGAGGACTTCCAGGCAGAGGACCGAAAGGTTACCCTGGACCAAGAGGTCTTCCAGGTAAATATAAGAGGGTGAGGTTAAAGAAGAAACATGGTAAACATTTGTTCAGAACTGATCCCTTAAGCTGCCTTGAAAAGATAAAAGGTGTCCATTAACCAACACACTTCCAAATAGCAGTGCTTCATAGGTAATGATGTAGTCACAAGTCAGAATTAAAAGCTCTTTTACTAAGGAGCCACCACCCCAGTTATCTCAGTGTAGAAAGATTAGGAAAATTTCTGCAATGCATTAGGAAAAAAAAAAAAAAGAAGCAATCACATACACCCCCCCATATAAAAAAATTGCCTGTTTTTAATGTAAATAGAAATAATATACACACAAGCACACACACACACGTAAATAAAAACATAAAGCAAAAAGGCCACAGGTTATGTCCCTAGCAGCCTCTGCAGTCTTCAACAGTTTCATAATTTAGGACATTCACTCCTTTATTTTTATGGTCATTAATTACAGTGTTATAGAATAGGGGTCCAGGACAAATTCTTGCTGATAAATGCAGCACAACCGCCCCCTAGTGGCCAGTGAATGAAAGGAAACGTTATTTCTATCCATATCTCCCTACAGCAGATTCCTGTGTGTATGTATAGACAAAAACTACCAAAATCCGTTCTCTTCGTAAAAAAAAAAAACAAACACAAAAAAACCAAAAAACAACCAAAACCAAATCACTTTAGTATATACTGATAGCCAGGACATCTGTGAAATTCACATTTGTTTTCTTTAGAAATTCATCACTAGGAGAGGCTTACTAAAATCACTGTATTTTTACTTTCATGTCTTCAAGGAAGAGACAAAATACACCTTCGTACTCAGCAGTTTGACTCTGTATAGCTCTTCCCCAACACATCTGGGTGAAGAATAAAAATAATTGATAATGCCTGTTACCATAATGCCTGTTACTATAATGCCTGTTTAATATAACTCTGAAGTAGTAAGTAGCATCTGCGCTTTCCTACACTGCACCAGCATGGGTGTCTGCAGCAGTGCTGCAATCAGAACCATTGCACAGCTTTTTATAGCAGCAGATATGCACCAGTATAACTGGAGAGGACTGGGACTGAAACTTCATCGCTGTAGGTGGGTAAATACAGCCTGGCTGTCTGTTAGAGAAACTGTCCCTCTAAGTAGGCAGTCCTCGGGGGAATCCACCGAGAGCAGTGAAAAGCCCATCTTCCTACTGTTTTTAAGAACAGCATGTTCAGTAAAGCTACATGAATACCAAGCGAGTCATATGATGCCAGTTTTTAGATCTGCATCCACTTTTCCAGGTGAACCAGGCAAGCCCAGCTATGGCAGCGATGGCCATGATGGTGAAAGAGGTCCCCCTGGGATGGCCGGTCAGCCTGGAGTTCCTGGTCCTCCTGGCCCTCCCGGACCTCCTGGCTACTGTGAGCCATCGTCTTGCAGAATGGAGGCTGGACAGAGAGCTGATAAGAACATGAAAGGGCCATGAATGGGCAACACGCATGCCAGAACTGTCAGCATCTATTTCCTTCCTGCACAAACAGCTGAGGAAAAAAATAAGGAATGGAGGAGAAATACAAACAAGGAAAAGTGTTCAATCAAGGTTTCAGCAAGGCATTTTTAGTACAGTGGTTGTACATTCTTTCTAAAGGTGTACTTCGCAACACAAGCTGGAACAATGGTGCTTACAGAAATACAGGTGGTGCCTCTGGCTCTTTCTCCTTTGGGGCATTTAAGAGGCATTTGTCTATTTTTATTTTATTTTTTTTAATAAAGAGTTTCTGTGATTTCCCTTCCACCTTTACTTAATTCCTATGTATGATGTACAGTGAAATAATGTGTCTTCAGCCATCAAATAAAAAAGGAACAGTTTATTTACTCCAGTTGTAGCTGTTCTTTTCTGCCTATAAAATAAACTCCAGAGCCCTCCCAGGCAAATTACTCATTTCAGGGACAGTCATTTCAGTGTGTAGATGTGCTGTACGTGATTGCTAAGACTCCTTCAGCTCTTCAGTTGCAGAAGCACAGCTGGGAGGCTGTTCTTATGAAAACCTGCCACCCCTGACACCTTTTATACTGTAAAACTGTGAAGGTACAACCAGTGGGTTCTCATGAATAAGCCATGTGAACTACCCACTTCATTTTCTACTCCAGTTTGTGTTGCATTCATAATTTCATATGAAGTATAGTGCAGCTTGTCTCCTTCTCTGTAAAATTAAAATCAAAGGCTGGTAGCCACTGCCAAGGAGATTCAAAGTCCCAGAAATATGAAAGTTTTATAGTAGAGATTACATACTTTGAAGTAAGATTTGTGGTTGTTCAAAAAACAAATAAAGAATGTTTTAACCCCATATGTTTTTGTATGTATGGTTACACGCAGTACCAATAAACAGAACAGCTAGAAGACAGCCCTTAGCCATCCCAAGTTGCCTTTTTTAGATAAACTCAGGTTTTAGAGGATAATGTGCAATGTGGGTATTTTCTCTCTGTTTGAATTAAAATATCGGTGGTTTTGATTTTACCTTCTCTGAAATGTTTCTCTCTCAAAGACAAACAAAACCTTTCAGTTTGCTTAGTCATCCCAGTTTTCAAATGCAAACTTTGGCACACTTGCTTTAAGCCTTAATTTTTTTCCTAGCCCTTAATTGTGTTCAAAAATAACTGACTTGTAAGCCATGTGAGAATATAAAGCAATAACCAAGTCATCTGAGCTATGCATTTTTGCACGTAACAGTAAAGAGAAAGGTACTGGTATAATATATACTCTGAAAGGAATTATTGAATAAACTAATAGATTAGCCTTAACCAAACTGTAGCTGTATTTAAGAGCCATGTCACTGGCACCTCATGTGTTGACAGAAAATGCCTAAATGGAGATCATTTGGAAGGAAAATGTCTGATAAAGCTGCCTACTAAAAAAAAAAAAAAGCATATGTTCACATTTATTGGAGACTTTTGAGGAGGAGTTAAATGGAATTAATGCTGATAAGCTCTTAATGTCCCTTGCACAGCCCAGTATTTGAAAGGATAAAATCTAAAAGAAGTTGGATCTTTACAAGGAAGTCTTATCTACATGTGTCTACTGCTCTCTTAGTTCCACAGAAGCGGCACTGGATGAATTTCAGGTGAAAGACAGGAAGAAAACAGGCATAAAGAAATACGCCATCCTTCCCAGGGACTCTGGGCAATCCTTGGAACAGCACCATTTTCCAGCACCTCCAGTTTGGCCAAACTCTCTCATAACCAACATCTCCTACATTAATACTACAATAGATGACTGCAAAGAACTTCCTTCTTAAGAAACAAAGCCAGATAACTGCATACATGGTGACTGGCTTGTTCACACATAAAGGTGTTCTCTAAGGTTTTAGAATTAGGTCAGGTTTCACTGACTTACGACACAGCCCTCAAAAGTACCCATTATGTAGTGTAAACATAAAATGTTTGTGGTAATGACAAACTGTAGTTTCACCAGCAAACTTTTATTTTGATTATAAAGTGTGTAAAACTGTTAAAAACAAAACACCCCCCCCCCCCAATAACAGAATAAAAATATTATTTTCCATATGCAATGCATAAACATAATGAACCAAAAGAAGTAAAACCCCCCAATATTTAAATACAAATGTGAAGTGCTTTAAAAAATATAGTCTGAAAAAATGCATAAAATGCCACAATGAAAAAAATTCACAGAGCAGAGAAAACATTCATATGTAAAAACCAAATGAGAATTATTACAATCAAACAAATTCAACACTGAGGGTCATTTCAATACAGCATCTATGTGAGTAAGTGAATAGCTTAAGACTGTGACAGATTTTCTGCCCTCAAGCTGACTCACAAGTTTTAACTTAAAATACAGAACTGAAAAGAAATCCTCGGGCCCATTATAAGTTATTATGGGACATGATTAACCAAGTATTTACAAATGCCAAATCCTGTGAAGGTTACCTGAAGAATGGTAAGCCATACACACACACACACAAAAAAAAAAGGAGGAATTGAAATTTTAGTAACAGCATGTTCAAGTAAATAAAGATTTGGAAAACAGGATTCTGAATGTAAAAGAAACGTAGCAACAATATGAAAAAAAGTAGCACTAGTTTTCAATAAATATATTTAGAAGGCACAAGCAGAGAGACTGAGAGGTTTCACAATCCGCTGGCAGTGGGCTGCCCATTCTAACCAGATGCTCTTGGAATCTTGGTGGATTCCTGAGTAAATCTTGTTCTCATCCCTTTCTGGTTCAACATCATAAAATGCTGTGAGATGTTGTGAACAAAAGACTACTGAAAAATCACTTTTACCTGTCAGGATTTCTGTCACCTAATTCTGTGTCCTAATTCTGGAGGTTTAATTGCACTGTGATAAATACATACACTTGCCAGGCTTGCAGCCCTGGCACTGAAGGCTCCCCAAGGCTTGCTGCGGTGGCTTTGTGCCTCTCCCTTCTCTTGTTCACAGTTGCATCCTCCCTCTCATGATTTGACATGGCATGAAAGGCTGTAATTTCTGACAGAGCCAGTAACAGAAAATACATGAAACATTTCCATTTCCACCCAGAATCCTATTTCACATGTAAATGGCCACATAATAATGCAAAAGACAATATTCTATACACTTAATACATTTCTGTTGAACTGAAACTTAAATGTTGCAAACCAGAAATATAATGGAGAGCAACCAGTTGTCACATTCTGTAATTCATTCAGTGATAGCTGCATATGATTCAGAAATGAAAGAAAAGAGTAAAATAAGGCATGTCATTGAAAACCCTTCAAACATACTGACTGGAGACAGAATGTATTTACAATGAAACAGCAGTAAATAATTAAATGCATTCGAGTTTCTAGAACACCCGACTCAGAGATAAAACTGCTAAAAGACATGTAGACTACATTTTTTTTAGCTACAAACTGAGTTTGGTCTACACTCTGTGATGTTTGTTAGCAATTAATATTTGAAACCCACATTTCCTTAAGGTATTTTGAAACCTGAGTTTTCCACTTAAAACACCAACCATGGAGAAATCACGGCTAAACATGTTCTCTGTGGCCTACACTCACATATATAGAGATGGATTTAAAGATCCATCCAGTACAATCTACTTGTAGTGGACATAAGAAGTTTCAAGGAAAATTTGTATTATTCAGTATAGCCAGAACCTAACAAAAATGTGATTAAAAAATCCCCAAACCAACACTGGTTTGAATTCCAAGATACTTTTCATGTTCTAATATGTCATGTTAGAGCAGTGGTTCTAGTACATTGGTAAAAGACAAAATTAGGGGCTGGCTTTACGTAGTGTATTTGGAGAAACAAGTTTATAAAATGGTTGTTTAGCCCATGGGGTTTTTACAAGACTTTCATATAAACCTTACAGAGAAAGAAGAAAATAACTGAGTGTACACTGACATGAGGAACAGTATTTCACCCGTGTGAAAAAAAAAGCAGCGCCAAAATATTGTGTGCAAATACCCATTAATTTAAAAAATACTTATTTATCAAAGCTGTGCATACCTAACATCTGTCATAATCCACAATCATAAAATATAAAGGAAGGAGGGATGATACCATTGATCCTATTTCTGTATCACAGTGCTCTTAGCATTGAAACCAAATCCAGTTTAAGACAAAAAAATTGGTTCTTAAAATATCTCACTAAGCTGCACTGCTACTCGATCACACAAAGTGTGCTATTATAATTGTTATTCACCATAGCAGGCTCTCTGCTCCCCTAGAGACAAACATCATTATAGAGGACATAAATGATGCCTGAAAGCAGGGTGTCCCACTCTGTGTATTCTTCCGTAACACGCACATATACAAAACACAAATAAAATCTAAGCAATGTTACCTGAAAATAACTACCCAAGAAAGGTGGTGTTTCTGTAAATACCACCATGCAAAACCAAGAGGATTTTAACGGAAAAAAAAAAAAAAAGGTCAGGCTGAAAACCCAACCAGAAACACCCACTTCTGCTTACAGTCTACAGGCGCTGGGTCATTTCCTGGGCAGCTGAGCGAGTTAAGCCTGGGCTTTAGCCTTCGCACTGAAAAGCCGTGTGGAACTCCACCGTGTGGACAAAAGGAGGTATGCGGCAGCCTCAGGAAAGTTTCCCTCTTAACCAAGTTTATTACCTTAGGAAAACCGAGTAGTTCTGTGCATAGCTATTTGAAGGAAATCCCAACACTTTCTTGGTCAGTGATAAAGCAACTTGCCATAAAATCTAATAGCCTGACCATGAACTGGAACAAAGCTTAGAGAGGAAGCTAAGGAAAGCTTTAAAACATTGTCCAAGATACTTCAGTTCAAAGTCCTGTTGTACATAAGCATTCCCAAATCATAAAAAGACCTTATCTACTGGAAAAAAACAATCCCCTGTGTTTATCTCCTTGCGGTACTTACTGCAGCACAGAGTGATCAAAACACATACAAAACTGATAATGCAAATTGCAAGATAGGTGAGCACCTCTCTGCCCTCCCTGGCTCTTTCTCCAAAGCTAAGACATCATCAACCTGAAACTGCAAAGAAACTTCTGGGGCAAAACCTGAAACCTAGGCAGAAGCATGTTTCAAGCTACATTCCACTTTCAGTTCTAAAGATACAGAGTAGGAACAAGCCAATGTGAAGTTAAACTGGGATTAACTCTGCTCCACCCCAGTGAAGAATATGGCATCTTAAAAAATGTATGGAGATAGCCCCTAGGAAAAAATACCCGTTTTCTCACATGAGAAAATTAAAGTGGGCTTTTAGCAAAATAAAAACACAACAAGATAATTACCAACGTTACCTGCAAACCAACTGAAAGTGTTCAAATACATTTTAAAAAGACCTTTAGATTTGAGCCTATAAAAGGAAAAAGGCATCTGTAAGAAACACAGATGAAAAAATAAAACTTCTTCAAATATAAAAAGTGTTCTACTTTCTGATAAATTCAAGTAAATTAACATACAGCAACTGCATCTGGCAAATACCAGATGCTGGGTTTCTGCTAGCTAAAAGCCCCCAAATATACAGATACCACTTAACGCGGCTCAATACTTTATGTACAGCCTTCCAGGACAGGGCTGCTTGGAACCTCTCAGTCACTTGGACACTCTTCACAAGACAGCACCCTTTTGATATTATCACAGAAAACAAAGTTTAAAATTAACTTATGAAGTAAAAAAAAAAAAAAAGGTTTAGATTTTTACATTATTGGAATTACTAGAGAAGGAAAATGAAATGGATGAAAAAATGTTTACGCAAGATACCTGACCAGCAGTTCATTTAACTGAATGCAAAACAGTATTTGGGGCCTGCCCATCTGCTGGTGTATATACATGGGTATACACTTCGGTGCAAGGCCCCTGGCTTTACTGGCTGGGCTGCCAGACCTGTGGCCTGGACAGCAGTAGGTGCCTCAGGACAGGTAAGAACTCAGTTTCAAGCCACCTCACCAGCTCCCAGTGTTAGCACAGATATGGCACTTTGAGGACCAGATTGGCAAATGTGAGCAACACCACAGAGCAAACCATGGGCACAGGAGGTCTGGAACAGGAGTAGTGTGGTCTGAGCTAGGTACAGGCAGGACCGCTTGCTACAAATGCACCTTTGTCCTGGTGGGATGGGTGCCCACCACCTGCAGAGCGGAGGACACACTGGCCTAGAGAAGGGACAGTTACTGCCTCCCAAGGGATGAGCAGGAAAGGTGTGAGGACTGTGGCTCACCCATGGGCTTTGACCTGTCCATCCCCATCCTCCTGAAGAAAAGACAATGCACCCTGACCCCTCCAAGGGGGTCCCCAGCTGCAGGGCATTTTTACAGCTGGCAGATTTCCTCCAGGAGATGGTTTTATGGTAGCTGCAGACTTTCTGCTGTCCTTTCTGCTGCCCTTTCCTGTCCCGGAGATTTACTCTCAGCCTTCCTTCTCTGTTTAGTTAAACATCTTTGCTTCTGGCAAGCACCTTCTTCCCTCCAACATGTCAAGTAGGTATGCTTTTCCTCTTTGAAACCCTACCTGAAGGCTTGGCCTGTGCTCCCCAGCTACCTCAGTTAACTCTATCACCTCTTGCACTCATCTTACTCCTCTGGCCTGGGTGCAAATGCTGGGAACTCTGTTCAGAATAAATGACAGCGTGTTTCTTTTTTTTTTCTTTCTTTTTTTCAAGACAGCCACCAGTCATTTCTAACTGTTTTTAAGCAAAACCCAGAAGTCAGCCGGATTCATGTCTCACTACAGCTTCTCTGGAACTCAGCACTTCCACTTCGGGAACACTTCCCTGGCAGCACAAGCATGAAGTCACCAAAACCACCTCCCTGCCTGACATGGGAGAGAATGACTGGCTGCCCGATGATGGGGCAAGAGCCCTCAGTAGTGCTTGTGTATGAACTTTTGAGGTTTTGGATTATAGGTGTCCATGTTCTCGCAACAGCACCTTCACTTCTTATTGCACTGTATCAACTTCCATAGGACTAATCCTAATAATCAGGAGTGAAACTTTAGACAACCCTCCTCCCTCCTTTTCAGAATCAGCCTCTGCATGATCAATTCTCTCTATCATTTCTTTTGCTCAACCATTTGAGCCCTAAAGGACTTGACTTATGCTTTGTTTTTTTCTTCTTCATGGACATCTGGTCCTGTAGGATTTAATGATGTCTGCAAACTGCACACAATCGTGCTCTCTGTAGCACTTTTCCAAGAGTGTTTTGCATTTTCTCCAACTTTCTCTTGAACTCCAGTAATTTTTTGCAACCAGATATTAGGACCTGTGAGTTTTGCATCCTACTGTTTCCAGGTTCCTCTCAAGTTTATTTTGGCACATTATTATTGCAGGAGGAAGAGGAAAACCGTGCCACCAGTAAGATTAGAGGCTTGTGAAGTTCCTTCTTTTGACTGTCTCAGTGTGTACCCATAGCCATCTGTTGGGACCGCATCCAGTCAGGAGCGATGCTTCTCAGGGCTACATCTGACAATTTTCCAGTCAGTCTGAAGGGATGAGATTAGAGAGATCATAAACATGTCTTTGTTTCCTTCTTTGACATCTAGGAAGTGACTGAAATGATAGGTAGGTGTTGGTGGTGCATGACACAGACCTGGTTCAGAAGGTGTGCTGGAGCCTCTTCAAGGGACATGGACGTTTAGCCTGTACTGAGTTCCCAGTGCTTCAGCTTAGGTCCTGCATTTGCCATGAACATGTATGCTTTGAAACTTCAGAAATGCATTTTTGCACTTAAACTTCACCACCAGCAAGAAAAACAAAGCCATCTTACATACTGAGGCATACATACTCTCTTAAGTTACAATAAAATATCCTTTCTTTGAAGAAAGAAGCTTACAAAAATTATTTAGGCCTATTTTCTCCTCTAAGCAAAATAAATATGAGAAACAAAACACATGGAATGCATGCTGGAAAATATCTGTCATAATTTCATAATTATGACACTACAAATAACATAGAAAAAGGCTAAATTCTGTGCCTTATAAATTATCCATATACCACGCAGTGTCGAGGAGAAAAAAGATAAAATGCGCCAAATATCTCAAAGATTAAATTAACTCATTAAGAGGAGTGAAAAGTGACTGTGAATCCAAGTGTCTAGGGAAGAAGTGTTTATTTCCCACCGGTGCGTGACCGAGTCTGTGATATGTGGTAATAGCAATCTGCTGGATTGCATCTCCCGTTGGGTCCGGCTGGCCCCTGTGGTCCAGGTAAGCCTGGCGTTCCTGGTGGGCCAGGCAGGCCAGTAGCTGGTAAAACAAAGTCAGAATTAGCAGAGTCCTTGCCAGAGCATGTGCAGTGCCCTGCGTTTCATCGCTGCACACCAGCTCATTCGCGACAGGGCAGGTGGGTCTGACTTCACGCCACAACCAAGCATGAAAACCAAGAAAAAAGCCCAGTAGTTCATAAACAACAACAGCAGAAATAAATCTGGAGACTTGTACCTGCAGGGCCAGGTGGTCCAGGGTTACCGAGCAGTCCAATTCCAGGCTCGCCTCTTTCCCCTTTCTGTCCTCTATAACCTACACAGAATAAAGATATGAAAATAAGAAAATTCTCTTATTATAAACCATGATCTGCCATATACCATGTTGCCAGGAAATTATTAAGACAAATGTCACTGGGAAAAAACATGCTCACTTTTATTCTGATATTGGTATTTTTTTTTTCCGAGACAACCCTTGTAAGTTCCTTCTGGAAAATATGATCTTTTCTAGCAGTGACCATTACACCCTCTGCCAGAGGACCCTCACTGTGTTCCTAGCCAGAACTTTCCCACAGCTTTTAAGTTACATTCTTGAAGTTCCTTTAATAAAGAACAAAATGTGTATTCTGCTCCAGTGTTACCTGTTTGACAAAATGATGAAAGCACAAACCCAAAGGCCACCTGGAGTCTGACCAGCCCTTCTCTGCTAGCCCACAAACTGAGCAAGACTTTGCCCTTTCCACTCTACATAAATCTTTATGTCTGTGCTTTTTAGAAAGTACACTGATAGTTGTACGCTGAGATATTCCCCTTTACGCAAAAAAAGACCTGCTCCCCCTCCAGTGTTACACAGCTGCCATCACATGGACTGAGCTTTTGCAGACTTGGGGTTCTAGTATGCAAGGCCTACTTTGATCCAAGTAGCTGTGTATTGCTAAGAAGGGGTGGTTACTAATTATACTATGAATATTTCAGTCCCTTTTCTTCACAGCCATAGCTTTGTATTTATCTAAACAGCTTTCCTCTTTTTAGATGCTGCAACTCATATCCAATAGCTGTTTCTTTTTCCTTAAACCGTTTGTAAAACATTTTATTAGTTGAAAACACTCTGGCTGCTTTAGAGCAAAACACTGGTGGCTATCACTATAACCTTTTCCTTAAGATTTCAAATTAACAATACATCTAGAAATGTACCTTTTCTGTTTAGACCATGCCATTTACATAGGACAGGAGATGAAGGTATTTTTAAAGGAACAAGGGTGACACCTGCCACAATCCCTTACTTTAAAAGGGGTTATAAGGAAACCCTCTTTCCTCCCAACACCTCAGATGTTGGCCTGTAAGGTGATATATGTTGAAGGTTAATTTGCCAACTCCTGGTGACATTTGGAATTAAACTTATTCTGCATCAGGGACCAATACATTTCCAGTGTCATGTATGCCATAAAATAAACTTCCTTTCGTGAAGAGCTGTAACTTAGCTTGAATTAAAAGAGCCACGGCTGAGCAGCCAGCATAGTGGTATCAATCTATCTGATGTCTTCTGAAGATTAATGGGCACTGGCAGATGGATGGCAAAGGTTATCTTGTACTGCAGTTTGTTGCAACACTGGTACTTCATAGGACAATCCAGAAGGAAACCATTATAAGAGCATGGGTACCAATTCAGGGTTGTTACAACAGCCACAATGCAGTTGGAATGGTACATTGAATATGCAAGCTTTCTGTTAAACACAATCTCATTATACACTTCGGTAGAAAGTCTCATTTTCTATTGCAATCATTCTAGGTTTAAAACCAGAGCATCAGCTATCTTACCCTTTTCTCAGGACCCCAAGAAGAAAATTAAAGTGAAGCAAAACCACTAGAAAACACATGCAGAATGGCATGCATCACATAATAAAAAGCTCACAGAGAAATGAAATTCAATTAATCATGCATTCTGGTCAGAGTTGTGTTAAGCAGAATTGTACAAGGCATATGTGCACACAAGCTATAAAGACTCAGAAAAGGGAATATGCAGATGTACATGTTCTGTTCAATTGTGAATCTTGATTTTGCTCTTTGATGACCACAGTAGTATTTATAACTACATTAAGCTGGTTTGCTCTAAAAGTCTTGTGTAGTACACAAGCAGTAGTTGCTAATGTCTGAGAAGCCCAATCATACAACCACAGGATCTATTGCATTTACTTTTTATTATATATGTTTCTTAGTTTACATTAGATAGTTACAGTACATTTCTCACTACAAACCCAGTTAATTGCAATTTTTAAAAGTAGTGCAGCCACTAATCATTTGTTTTGCTTTTCTTTAGTTATGGGGAAAAGAGAGAAATCACATTCAAGATATATCACATTTACAATCTCCATGATAATCATTACTGTAGGTATCTGAGACATCATAATTGAAGAGAGGCTGAGAGAAGACTTAAAGATTTTGTAAACATCACTGAAATTCAAGACAAAATGGAAAAAACCCACTACAATTGGAAAAGGGCAGCCTGACAATAAAAATACATGATCCAGGGTAGTCTAAACAATTACTGGCTGTATCTGAATATGCATGCAAAGGTGTAGTTTGTAGTTCTGATGACAAGTTTGATACAAATATTCCCAGATATCTTAAACTAAATATAATGTTTTATTTAACAGGGTGTAAGCTAGTAAACAGGCTTATATGTAAACAATCTGAACAACGTAATGTGTAAATCTGTCAGGAAAATACTTGATTTTTAATGAGGTATCTTTTGCTCAGAAATAGGGCCATGGTTATACTTCTGGAGGCTAATATTACCTTCTCTCTGAGCTCTAAGTAACAAACTCATACACAGTCAATGGAAAACATTACTGTACATGTAAAACAGATTTAGATTTTAATTGTTTTTAATGTAAAGGCACATATAAGATATTGTCTATTTTTACTGGTAGAATTACAATTCCAGTAAGAGGTACCTGTTTAATCCAAAAGGTAACTGTTTTAGCAAGGTCTTTCACTTGGGTTCCAGAAGCCTTGTTGTGATTTTTGCAACCCAAAATTTTTTATATGTAAACATGTACCCAGTGTGGGTAGTACAGTAAATAGCAACAATATGTAGGAAGTATGTGTTTAAATGGAAAAGCTTTATTTTGCTCACAGGTGGATGGTAACAGCTAAAATCCAGATCTCAGTTTGGTGCTTTCTATAAACATCACAGTCAGAAACATCACGACCACAACATCCTCAGCTCTACATGGAAACCATAGAAAGGTTTGGGTTGGAAGGGACCTTAAAGATCATTTAGTTCCAAAACCTCTGCCACGGGACCTCTGCCATGGGAAGGGACACCTTCCATTAGACCAGGTTGCTCAAAGTTCCATCCAGCCCAGCACTTCCAGGGATGGGGCAGCCACAGCTTCTCTGGGCAACCTGTGCCAGTGTCTCACCACCCTCACAGTAAAGAACTTCTCCTAATATCTAATCTAAATCTCCTCTCTTCCAGTTTAAAGCCATTCCTTGTCCTGTCACGACATGCCCTTGCTTGTAAAAAGTCCCTCTCCAGACTATTTGTAAGGCCCCCTTTAAGCACTGGAAGCTGCTCAAAGGTCTCCCTGAAGCCTTCTCTTCTCCAGGCTGAACAATCACAACTTCTCTCAGCCTGTCTCCATAGGAGAGGTGCTCCAGCCCTCTGATCATCTTTGTGGACTCCTCTGGACTCACTTCAACAGGTCCACATCCTTCTTATGGTTGGGGCCCCAGAGCTGAACACAGTACAGAACTTAATGTCTATGAACTTGGAGGTTAAAAAGTTCTCTTGATTAAACTGCTCCAAAAGGTATTCCACTGATATCGTGGAGACCCTCTTCCATTCACTGTATCAATAATGCAGCACCTGAAACTAGCATCCCAAGTATATAGAGAAATCTGAGGTTCTTTAATACAAATGAGGCAAATACCTTATCATGACAAGGTATGATGAGACAGAAGTTTATCTGCTGTGTTTTACTGTGCAAATACTCTGCATTCATAAAAAACAAACAAATAAAAAGGAACAGGAAGTGTGCTAAAAGCAAGCCCTCTCATCCAGCCTCCATATTCTGCATTCCTTCTGTGTATTATAGCTCTCCCAGCTAAGAGGTGGTAGTTGGGTTTCAAATCAAAGTGAAACAGGTTAACTTCACCCTCCTCAGCAAAGAGTATTTATAGGAGGTGATGCTTGAAACCAGTGCAGCTATTTTAGAAGACTGATTGTATCTGAGCAACATCTACTACAGTGGGTTCTTGACATCAGCCAAGCTGACATCATACTCCACTCCACATGCTCCCACCATACAAAATTAATGAGACTAAAATAAGGGACTAAAGATTTACAACAGATTAGCAATGAAAATAAAGTTCTTTCAGTATTCATAGCCTGACATTTATTTTTTCCTGAGCTGATTTCTTCAGGCTACCATGAGTTATGAAGACCTACAAAACACTAGTTTCCTTTATTTGCTAGAAACAGTGAAGTTTAACTAGATGAAATCTTACTTTCTCCATTGAGAGAAAAAACAACAGTTATATTAACATAAAAGATCTCTGGATTACAAAATTCACTTACTATTATGGTTTTAAAAGTTCAAGTCAATGAAGTTAATAGATCTAGATCCTCTAACACATGACAAGCTAATTGAATACTTGCAAATGGACGACATCGCTATAGCTTGTCTACAAAGTGTTGAAATAAACTTCCTGTTTCTCTATGAAACAGTAGCATCCTTTAAAACTGATACAGAGTAAACAAGTTCCTTTGCTCCCGATTAAACAGATGGTGTACATTTCACTGGCGACACTGCTTCACAGTATCAGCCTGCTGATGTATGTGTCACAGGCTACTATATTAAAAATGAAGAAATATATATATATAAATCTTCTAATCACTATTATATAAAGTATGTTTAAATACCAACGGTATGTTTCATAATTCAAGTTGTAATTCTTTGTTGGTTTTTGATTGCATGCTATATGTTTATTGAGACCATCCTATGAAATAAAAATTATTTGCACCTGAACCACTGGGAAGTACCTGAGAACACACCTTGCTGAAGGCCAGCAGGTAACAGTCCTGAGCTTTATTAGAAATTAACGACTTTATGCCCAAGAGCCTAGCAATTCCTGAAATAGAATTTCTGAAGGCAACAGCTACACTTCCAAAAGTTAGTACTTATGTTTTCTGCCTCTGGGCTTGACCCCTACCTATTGTTTTGCCGTGCAGAAGGAGGCTCTTGTGGAATCCAGCCAGGTGATATCAGATCAGTTCCTGGGGGAACTGGCACCCAACTGAAGGTGTATGGAGGAACTCCTGCAAAGCTGAAAGTGAAGTTAAGCACCTCTTCAGGTGCACAGTGACACCTGCCTTTCCCACTGGCTGGCTCTAGCAGTCTCACTGCTCAGTGTGCAGCATCACAAACAGGTACTGGAGGCGTTCACAGAGGTCCTGTTAATTGCTCTCCAAAACTATCTACTTCTTTTCACTGGCTATATGGGACAACCGATTGTTTCACTCTGACAGTCCAGAAGTGTATTACTGCAATCAACAAAACTCTGGAGCTGGCAATCTGGGTTACACCAAAGTGAGAAATACTAAGGAATATCTGTCAGCCAGTGCTAAATCTGTATTATGACTCGGACATATGTGCACACAGCATGCTACCTTGATGATCTCAGCCACACATGCATGTAACATGCTTCTCCAAGCTGTCTTGTCTGCTACGTCTTTGTGTACGGCTGAATATAAGCTGGAATATAGAAGGATACTTTCTGACCTGTTCAGAGACTTGAATTTCTTTTACTGTTGGCACAAAGCAGTAACACTCACAGCCACAACTGCGAAAGGCATGAAGGACATTTGTAAGTGTGCTTCTCTCACAGGACTATCTCTTACTTGGAGTGTAAAAAGGAGGCAAGACAAATTTTTGGTTTTCTTTCCTTGGAAGTATAATTTCAGATATCTTTTGATGTATCAGAGAAGTAAATGCTTCTCACTTAGGTTACCTTTTACTAATCAAAAAAGAGTATCGAGCATACCAGTAAAATAAATGGAAATCCTGCATACATGGGCACTACTTTTACTTAAGCATAAGGCATGAAAAAGCAGCTTTATTTTTTTTTTCAAGCATAGCTATCACCTTTACTCGTGATGCTCACTAGCTGGAAATGAATCCTAGTACAAAGTTCCACTTTCCAGAAGCATCTTGGACTATCCACCACATACATCATCATTGAACAATCTGGCACTGACATTGAAGTTGACCATTTACAGTAATCTGAATATTTAGGTAATGAAGAAGTCAGTGTTGCAAGATTCTAAGCCTTTTATTCTTTTCCTTGATCCTTTATTCTTGTTCTTCTCATTCTGAGCTCATCACATTTTTCAAGCTTCTCTCAGGGGTTTGCGCTTATCAGTGTTAGTAATTCTTTATTCTTCTTATAGCTTTAGGATCCACACATCTTCAGCTTTACTCTCATGTTCTTCATTCCAGTCTGCCTTGCTCTGACTCCAGAGCAGACCAAACTAACAAAAGATAATAAAGAACTACCTACAGATAAACTGCAAATTAAATATTACCCACCCAAAAAATATTATTTATCAATAAATCCTTTTATCCTCTTATTCTGTTCTCCTCTTCCTTTTAATCTCTGAGAGGCTGACTCTACAGTAGGTCACAGGTACAATAAGCCTGGATTCCTTGAAGTGAATTTTGCACTAAAAGACAGTTCAGTGAAACAAGAGTCCTACGCTGTCCAAATGCAATGTACAAGTTACCATTTGGGGTATAGAGAAAAGCTCGTTACTCTGAAACTGATTTATGAGAATAGGTTACTTCACTGCAAGAAGAATTAATGTGATAATATTTATTTTTTTCATTGTTTCTTAAAGAATATTTGCCTTCAGTTCTTCCTCCCCTGTGTTGTCTCAGCATCATTGCTGAGAGCACTCTGACTTGGAGATCAAATTTTGTTTCATAAATAAGATGGTCTCTCAATATGGAACAAGATCTAAATAGTTATGTTAGAGTGCTGGCAGTTTTTATTCCTTGTTAAAGTTTTTTGGAGAAAAAAAAAACAACCCTCAAAACTGACACAGTAGCCTAGATACCTGTCAGCTTTAGATATCTGTCAGTAATTAAGTGCATCACTTATTAGAATAAAATGCACTGATTAGGAGTTTTTAATCAGTAAAATCCACACATTTACTATGGGTTAATATTTAGATCTAGTCTGGAAAAACATAAGTACAGTTTTAAAAGTTAATCATTAGGAAGCTAGATGGGTAATCCTGCCTTATTTAATAATCATCAGCAAGTGTATAAAGATTTCAATATACACTTCATAGGAACATTTGTTTTTTTAATTCCTACCTTGAATTCCACGTTCTCCTGGTGGCCCTGGCAAACCATCCTTTCCTGGTGGTCCCGGTAACCCATCTTTTCCTGGAGGCCCTGGTTTTCCATGCGCTTGGGAGGCAAGCATTGCAGCAGGCAGCTTCAGCTGGGATACAAACTGAGCCATCCTTTCTTTATTAACAAAGGACACAAAAAAAAAGTGGTTAAGAAATCTGCTTGCAAAGCATGGGAAAAAAAGGCGCCAGGTAAAGTGTTTAATCCTTCTAAACGTCAAGGTATTAAGTGTTCCTGTAAGTAGAGGCCTTCAGTTCCATCTCTAGACTCATGTTTGAGTCTTTACCCTTTGAAATAATCTGAATGAATTTGTACTAAAGTATCTATTATCACTCTCTTTTACTAATGTATTCCAATATTTCAAATAACTTCTGATTCATGGAAGTACTTAAAATACATGAACAGAGAATAATTAGTATTTAACACCCCTATGAAGGGCTACCTTGTATGTTTGTAACTCACAGTAAATTGCAAATTAGAGTTTAAATACTGCAAATTCCAAGTTGTTGGAATATGCAGAATCCTTGAAAAAAATTGCAAAAATATCCATATAAGTGCTCAGCAAACATTATTAATTGCTGAGCATTTAGCTAAGATTTCAGCATGAACTGTTTAAACTGGTGGAATAAAGTGCACTTTTTAACATTTCAGTGTTCCTTAGAGGTAGACAAAATAGGCACTAACCTTGAATCTGTCTCATTTACACTGGATTAAAAAACTTAATTAAGTATTTCACAATTTATCAGGTATTTAATGTGGTGGAGTTTCAGGAGTGGGCATCATACAAAAAATAAAAGTTGATAGAAAATAGGCTAAGTGAAACAAAGCCAGAAGATCTGTGGCATCACTAATGAGGCGTAGAAAATGGAATAGCTTAAAAGACAAACACCAACATTCCCTGTAGGCAGGACACTGTTTAATATTTTATTTTTATGAATAGACTAACTACTTGTTACCGTTCCATTTGAATGGGAAGAAGAGGTACCTTCAGCCAACAAAATGCTTTGGAATACATAGTAGGTTGAACTCCTACGGGGTAGCAGTCTGGGGAATGGTGAAAATACACAGAACAATAGCCTTGTTCTAAAGTGAAAAACTGTCTGAATAGTTTAAAAAGTCTCAAGCTTTATGTGATTTCTTTTATCCCTGAAAGAGAAAAGGTTTTGCAACCACAAATAATAATGACTAACTATCTAAGCATATTGCAGACATAAGAAATGCATTTTGCAATGGAAGAGAAACTACTGTTAAGAGATGTTGGAGCAGAAGCTCATTTCAGACACCTACCTGAGTCATAGCTTTTCAACCCTGACTGAGAAAACACCAGGAAAGAAACGTACCTCCTTTTCAGAGTAAGGACACACCTCAGAAAGATTACGTAGTACAAAGGCCATGACTGAATCTGGTACTTGCCTAAATTGTGCCAGAAGATGGTGGTACGCAAGGGAGCTTTGGATCACATTTGCTGAAAATGCACAGCAGTTTAGACCTGCATGACTGAAAGCTGTCAAGCCTTTCTCTCATTTGGAGAGTCATCCATTAAGCGGCCAAAATAATTAGATCTTTCTATTGTCTCCTCTTTAATAAATATTCAGTGTCTTTAACAATACATTGTAGATACCTATGTATCTGCAATAGTGTATGATACATACATGTATCTAAAATGATACATACATACGTTTGCTATTATGATTTGGAACAAACTGCCTGTTAATGCTAATCTTCTACAGAATTAAATACTTTGTTAACAGATACTGTAATTTATAACTGTTTGAACAGTTATATTGAGTAGACTTAAACAACAATTAAACATAGCTACAGCAACAAAGCAGCTGCCAAATGCAACTTAAGTTACATGACATGTAAAGAAATGCATATAAAGGCTGTAGGGATGTAAAACATTTAGAAGGTAATTTAAGATTTATGTTTAGTTGTATAATACTTCATTTTCTTACCTTCAAAAACCTTAAGAACTTCTTGTTTGATGATTTTTTTTATTTCGTCAAGTGAAACTGTATCAACCTGTTGAGGAAAATAAAAGGTGATATGTATCAGAAGAAATACACAGAGGGCACTTTATAATGATACAAGAATAATAATAAAAAAAAGAAAAGGCAGAAAGTATCATTTAAAATGTAAAGCTTTTACCAAAAGTTAAATATTTGAATGTGTGTGTATTTTTTACTTAACTGCTAAGGTCACTGTATTGCAAATACATTATAATTCTATAAAGACTACTAATACCACGTAGTGGAAGAGGCACTCCCAAACTGTCAAGATTATCAGCATGTTATGTGTAGCAAAATTAATTTTCATTAGACAGCAAGGATGTTCAGTGACACCACTATTCTATGCTTGCCTTTGGCATAGCATTTGCCAGCTTCTCACCCCCTCTAACGACTAGCTGCTTTAAGGCACAGCTGACTAACTAGAACTGCATCCCAGGACCAATAACTTCCCTGGAAAAGTTTTTTAGAGCTTTATCCTATCTGATTTAGGGTAAAAAGAACTCGTAATATGGATATGTCTCTGTGCACACATGGGGACAAACCAAGATATCTGCAACTGACATGTGGCATTTTGCTGACTTTTTAAATGTTGATTTTTCTTTTATTAAGAATCATTTTTGTTTGCCTCATTTCCCCTCTCAGTTGCAAAGACTTAAACTTGAGCTCTTAAGCTTATGAAAAGCTTGAAAATTAATGGTATTGAGTAACTATATTTTCAGGATCTAAATAAATAATTAAAGTTTAAAGATATACCTTAGTTTTTCTAATACCATTGCATTTCTTGTTTGAATTGCCACTGCTCAGCACATGCTACTTTCACATCATCTGAATTCACTGACAACCAAAACTTGTATTTACTTACTGGAAACCCTGGGGGTCCTGGAGAACCCGGGGGACCTTGATGGCCTGGTGACCCTGGATAGCCTCTGTCTCCTGGGGGTCCAACAGGACCCACATCCCCCTTTTCTCCTGATGGGCCAGGTTTCCCTCGTTCACCTTGTGGACCTCTGTCTCCTGGAATACCCTGATCTCCCTGTGTAAAATAAAAGCAGAAAGAAAATCATTGCACACAGTGGAAAAAACTGAGAAAAGCCACCCAAGAGAAAATTCTTCCCTGTTTAGAGATAGCTTTTATGAGTAATGCAAGGAAGCTTATTTTACAGGATAACCCTTGTTTCTGAAAACACACCAAGTAATATTTTGTTTTGTTACACTTTCAGTGTTGAAGTCAATGACAAAAAAAATTAGCTTGACTCTGCAACCTACTTTTCAAGGACAGAACTTTGGTGCAGACAGTTTATAGCCCTTCCACAAGGATTTAGAAACATCAAATATGGTACAGGTAGAATTTAGGTGCTCAAATTTCCCCACGCACAAGGCATCAAGATTCTTCTGTAACTTTCCCTAAAAGCCTGATATTTTATTTCTGCACATAGACAAAATTTCAGTTAATCAAAGAAACAACAAATACACAAATCTATCTATAACGAGTAAATTCCTTGCAAACAAAATGAATTAGATGTCAGTGTTCTGTCCACCAACAACTTCCATCATGGGTGAGATGGCATTTGTTTTATTTGCGAGAAATTAAATCTTTTATAGTCACTTAATGTATTAGCTATTAGGTCACTGAAGTACAGCTGTGGTGCCTAGTGCCACAAGTCACATATTCCGATCATTAATGAACAGCTGGCAGTTCTTAAGGGTCACTGACTGCCCTTGAAGCTTCACTTAAACTAAAGTTAAGCTCCACCACGAGCACCAAACAGCATCAAGAACTAACTACATCATTAATAGCTAAATCCAGAATCTACATTTATGAAGGGTGAATGAATGGAATTAATTGCATTCTTAACCTACAGCTTCTTAAGTCATATTTACATGACAGGTAAAGATTGAAAAAGAAATAAAGAAAGGTAAGGATGCAAGTAGGAGGTTGTATAACACTTTTATCACCTATCTGTCCTCCAAACTGTGATTTACAGTGAGTTGGAGCTTATTATTGACTATAACTAAGCTTCACTACAAAATCAATTATAACTTGGTGAGGTTTTACTGCATTAACTGAAACCATAGCACATTCCCAACTGGAGTTTGAATTGCCCTCAGTAAGAGTGCAGAGGCTCTGAACTCTAAAAGTTTTCTGCAAGAAAAAAAAATCCACAAGTGTCAAAATCTGAGACCTCATCATCTCACACTTACACTTTTAACCTCCATGGTGGGCTGATGTTGGCTACCTGCCACATACCCACCCAACTGCTCTCTCACTACCCGTCCACAACAAGACAGGGAGAAAATGAGATTAAAAGCTTGTAAGTCAAGATCAGGACAGGGAGATCACTCACCAATTACTGACAGGGTTAACAAAAAACTGAACTTGGGGAAGATTAATTTAATTTATTGAGAATTAATAACAGAACAGGATAGTGAGACCTTCTCCTCAACCCACCCCCTTTCTTCCCAAGCTCAAATTCACTCCTCACTCTTCTACCTCCTCTCCCTCAGTGACGCAGTGGGATAAGGAATGTGGGTTGTAGTCAGTCCTTAACACTTCATCTTGGCTGTTCCTTCTTTCTTAAATTTTTCTCCTACTCCAGTGTGCGGTCTTTCCCATGGGAGATAGTCCTTCATGAACCACTCCAGCATGAATCCTTCCAATCGGGGGCAGTTCTTTAGGAACGGATTGACCCAGTGTGGATCCCCCATGGGACAGTTTCTGCCTGAAAACATGCTCCTGTGTGGGCTCCACTCCATGGGCTGCAGGTCCTGCCAGGAACCTGCTCCAGTGTGGGTTCTTCCTTGGCTGTAACCTCCTTCAGGGCACATCCACCTGCTCTAGCATAGGTTTTTCCATGAGCTGCAGGATGGATAGCTACTTCACCATGGACCTACATGGACTGCAGAGGGACAACCTGTCTTCATCAGGATCTTCTTCAGTCTGCAGGGAATCTACTCCAGCACCTGGAGTACCCATCTCCTCCTTCTTCACTGACCTTGGTGTCTGCGGATTTGTTTATCTCATGTTTTCTCAGTGCTCTTTCCCAGTTGTTGTGCAGCACTTTTTACCCTTTGTATCACACAGGCACTACCAGCATCACTTCTGGCCTCAGCATTGGCCAGCAATGGATCTGTCTTGGAGGCATCTGGAATTGGCTCCGTCTGGCATACTGGGGGCAGCTCATTTCTCGCAGAAACCACCCCTGTAGCCTCCTTATTTCCAAAACCTTGCCATGTAAACCCAATACAACCTGTCAAACTGCTAACATGATCCTATTCAAGGATGTCAGTGTGATACAGAAACAATCTCAATGTGATTACATTTATTGTGTGTTTCTTAAAAGACCTATCCTGCCATTACTGCTGACACCTGATTTCCAGTTTTATTTTCTGGGCATTAATACCTCAGGCAAAACTCTAAATATGCAGCATATGAATTATTTCCAACAAACACACTGCTACTTTAGCTATTTGGTAGAAGACAGATAAGATATGATGTGATACCTAAGACAACTGAAACCCCTGTCAAAGAACTTCCAAATTTTCACCAGTTGGTGGGAGCAGGAAAGGTAATGTATGTGCATTTGGGTTACTGGAAGAGTAATGTTCTGATGGAAGAGGCATATCTTTTCAGGTTTCTATAAACTTTAAGATTTATAGGAAAAAGTGTTCTGTCCTGCATACAGCTATGGTATCAGTACATGTATTGCTACACCTTGACAAATTCAGGGCACAGGAAAGATTCCGACTAAGCAGAACTTTTGTAGTCTGCAGAGAAGAGGCTCTTTCCTGGCCTTAAACAAAGTTTTTGCAACCAGTCTCTATATCCTACTTCACTCACAGCAACCTGAAACACTATGAAATTGAAGAAAAACTTCTGTTTCACCCTATGTTTCTGTAAAATTGGAAAGAGGTACAGTATTTAATATAATGTTTAGTTTAGAGCGCACACACACACGCAAGCATCCACATGTATAAATAAATCTGCCTGAAGATTACTGTACTTACAAGAAGCCTTCATTGAAAGCATATTAAGGCATAACTATACACATAAAATTTCCCACATTTACAACCCTGCAGAGTAGGCATGGATAGCAGTTCTACTAGAAATAAAGATGTAGGTTTCTGTAAGTCCACAGTGCTATGGCAATGTGAAGCTGATCCTAGAATTAGTTTTCTTCTAAGTGATTCCCATTTTACAGTCTCCCAATGGTAGGAGGCAGATCAAATACTACAGCCACTTTTCAAACAAGTGCTTTTTTAACTGCCTCCAGTGTTTTCTTTGTATTTGGAAGAAGCTCCTAGTAAAAATTCATTAAACTAGGTCATGTCTTCCTCTGGTTCCTCTTTAAACTCTCCTTCAGTATGAATTGTACAAAAAACAGGGTAGCACATTGTGTTTTGCAAGCTCTGCCTACGGTGCTAATTTATTCAATCCTCATCCTTCTTAGTGCTCTTCCATCTCTTGCATTTAACCGTGTGCTAAATTCTGTGCAGAATAAACCATTGCTTTCCCTAGGTTTCTACATGCTCTAGCTGATCAAGGTATGCAGATAACAGCAGTAAAGGAGCCAGTCACAAGTACTTTAATCTGTTGCTGAAGTGACTTGAAAGGTAGGTCTGATTCATATAAACTACATGTTTTCAACTGGTTTGTCATTCATTTTATAAAGTAGTAATAACAGCAGTGTTTAGTCACTCAAAGGATGTGTAAGATTACTTCAGCTGAGGCAATGTCTTCTTTCTTCAAATGATTCTAGAAGGATATACTTATATTAGGCATAAAAATCTCATGAGTTTTATTCTGTCGCTCCAATTTTGATGCTTCTCTTTTCTGTAATTGCAACAGCTGATCTCAAACTGAAGGAGTATGCTATACAGCAGAAATAATAATGGCTGCAAGAGAATACTGACTTCCTGTTATTTTCTGTAATCACTGCAATCTCTCTCACAGATGCAGGTCTGTAATACCTGATCCAGAGGAGGGAAAATGAAAAATCAACTCCAACTGCCCCACTGATCACTTACCTGAGACGCAAACTTCTGCTGTGTATTTCACTGTTAATTCTTTGGCAGATCTCCCCTTGTTTTCCACAAACCTATTTTTTTCCTGAAGAATTGTAAGGAACAACTGGCAGCTGTCTGAAAACTGTACTGAGGCATTGCATTAGACATTTATTTAGCTTTTGTGTTATAAAAGATTGTGAGAGATTTTGATTATCATGTGAGACAAAAATACTTATGGAAATTAATTTTTTAATCTTGTATCTATATATTTATTTTATGTATACATATGTGCATATATATATATATTTTTTTTTCTCTGTACAGAGAGAGCTAGCTCATGACATGTTTTGCCAGTGATCCCAGAAGTGAGAGCAGATTCAGGAATCTGTGACCTCTCTGAGAAGAAGCGCATATCCGCATTTACATCTATGGCTGCAGGTACACGTGTGTATGTATGTACTCTATCACCAATGACACTGGAATAAATACATCCTCTTCTCTTACCCATAAATTTCTCAAGTTTCACTCTGATGAAGCAAGCTAAGGTTGCATCTCTGTCTCTGAAAGACTTCTCGAACATCCTCCTCTCTGTCAGTATGTTTTAAGGTCATGCACTCAGAAGTTCAGCCTCCTCTTTTGGTTGTATGTGTACAGTTCTATTTGCAGGGCACTCAGGCTGACACTGAGACGGTCAAGGTTGAGCAGTGTAATTCAGTACACAGCAGGTGGTACAAAAGAAGGATCTTACGTTTAATTAGTGTCCTTCAAGGCAGAAACAGAACATTGGAAAGGGTCAGTTGTCATATGGGACAGTTGTTGTAATAATGGTTAAAACCTCATATGTCCTCAGTGTCATAAAGTAGCATTTCCTTTTCCAGATTACACAGGGAGGTGCTTTTCTGATTCATCAAATAAATGCAGTATCAACTGGATTAGGATATGAGGACTTTAGTAACGTTGTAACAGGAGCAGAGTAGGTTCTGGGATTTTCTTTGCTGTAGCAAAATAAAGATCATCTCTCATCTCCTATAATGATGCCTGTCCACCATGACCTTCTTACCATGAACAGAACAGTCTAAGCATTTTGGGAACCAGTAAGGTATTGCACTGGCATTCCTGCTGCCCAAGTGCAACAAAGTTGTTTTATATAAAATGTGATTTGTGATTGTGACATACAAAGATCCCAGGGATGACGACAGGGCAACCTTTACAGCTCTTGCAAAGTCTGATGGCATCACAACAGCATTAGCTACTTTCCACTTTTCAGCCTATTGATCTTATTTACACTGCCCAGGCCAACTGTTTTAGAAAGTCTTCCTCTAAATGCAAAAGCCAACTCAACTCTAATTCCTTAAAGTCATGTCCAGACTAAACTTCTTAGTGGCCTAGAAGACTGCTTGAAGTTCACAAAGAATTAATTTCTTGGTTTTGCCTGATGAGGTGCTCAGATGCTCAATAAAAAGACAAAAAAATATTGAAACAAGGGACTTACACGTTCTCCTTTGGGTCCTCTGTCTCCTGGTCTCCCTACAGCACCCTGGAAAATTGTTTTTGAAAAAAGATAAAAGTATCAGTTAAAGATTTTTTAGTATGTTCATCTGTTAGCAGAACTGAAAGCACCTTCTGTGATTAACAGCTATGGTATCCATCAAGAATAAATACCCTACTATGCAAAAGAATGTTTTCCTACCGGAGGACCTGGCAATCCATCTTTTCCATTGATTCCCTATTAAAAACAAACAAACAAACAATTTTTAATCAATATACTTATGTATATGAAATTTAAAAATACAAAGGGTAAAGCTGTGTTTAGTGATGGTACCCGTACATATTTTGAGGCTACAGAGGCAGCAGTTTGTGTAGTTGCAACATAGAAATAGTCTTGAGATGTGAAATAAGAGAGCTCAGCGCAATACTGAAGTGCAAGCACATTGAATTGGAGCTGAGAGCAGATAAAAAAAGTCTTCAGCATCAAGATGTGCACCAGCTTTAATAAGCACACATCTTTAAATGACAAGATACATGGAAATTATGCAAATGTGGAATATGGACCTGTACAAACACTCTTCCAGTCCTAGATAGTCATTATGCAACCATAGAAGAGATTTTTCTTATTGTAGATGTTAGCCTTTATGTCCTATTACTCTTCTCTTCCAGATTACACCTTAACAGTAAATGGCCAGATCCATTCTTTGGTCCTTATGGGCTGTGGCACACTACAGTTTCAGCCTCCTGATCTAAATATAGAATCATAGTATCGTAGAATAGTTAGGGCTGGAAAGGACCTTCCTTCTCAAAAAAGAGGGTATTCTCATTTCCTTCCGGAAACAGTCCCAGCCCCACCTTGTCCCCTAAACTGGCATTATCTGAGAGTCCTAGTTGGCACGGACCAAAATAATGCCAGAGAGTATGTTAACAATAGCAAAATGCCAGAAAATTGCAAGATATGTGCTCTGGCACTGTTTAATTTACTAGGATATAAACAGATTTGCATACACAGCAAATTCATTGTTGTTCAACCGAGTGAGAAAGAAGGACTAGCATGAGCAAAGACATCAGGAATACTTCCTTCCCTCTCATACTGCAAACTTGGGTTTTGCACAGATTAGGCACCTAGGGCCAATTTGCTGCTGAAATTACAGAACTTGTCTCTTCTTTCAAGACAGAAGCATAATGTGGAGATATGCTAACAGACTGAAATGGTCTGCTATTGCTTGTCCCCCAAACACCAAGCTTTGGGGGGAAGATTATGAGTTCTGGACTATCCTAGCCAAACCACTTCTAGAATATAAACTAGGTTGTTTTAAACCAGCTCAGGCAGTAATGGCTAAACAGCTGCCACTCTTTTATTAAATAAAGAGGTCAGATGGACATATCCTAAGTGAACAGTAAATGCTTCAGCTGCAGTGCTGCATCACCTGTATACAGAAGAGTTACCAAGTTTATTAAGAGTAATGAAGCACACACTTTTCTATCTGAACTGAAACTAAGAACTTAATTGTCACCCTATCCTTCATCTGCCCTTCATAGACTCTGTTGAGTGTCTGGGTTAATTTCTCCTTCTGAAAAAATACAAGAGGATCCTTTAAGTCAACGGATCCAAAGGACCCTCACATAAGACCTTTAAAGGAAACTTCTCAGTAACATTAAACATTGAAACATCACACCACCAGAAATTCTTGACTGAATGGTTAATATTGAACACTGTAGCTCTAAGTGTTCTTCAGATGTTATCTAGCCTAATATAAAGTAGGGTGTAATCTCATTTCTTTTGTAACTTCTAATAAACTAAGATGCATTCTTTTGTAATGAGCACATATATTCAATATAAAATTGCTTACTGGTTTTCCTTGTGGCCCTTCTGGCCCAGGGAAGCCGATATCTCCTATAGGGCCCCTTTCACCCTAAGAAAGAAGAAAACATGCCTATAAATTTGCATGTAAATCTTGCATTCAGTGTTTGAAATATTTGTGCATTATCATAAGAATTCAGAACTCAAATCTATACTTACAGGTTCCCCTGGCATCCCTGGGGACCCAGGAGATCCCGGCTTTCCCTGCAAAAAGAGAACATTAAAAATTCAAATTTCTAGGAAGCAAAACATAATTTTTCTTAGGTCAAAAATAAGAGGATATATATTTGAGTGAAATATTCATGTTACTGCTTGTTACATGCTTTAAGGGAACAGAAATATTTTTTACCAGATATTTTACCAGATATTTTAATATTTGTGCCATGTTAATCTGGCTCTTGTGTACAAAATAACTTGGTCTTCTTTACCCTTCCTGAATACCGAGATAATGTTTTCATGAAATTTTCTTTGGCAACACCTTGATTTCTTTCTTGAGAAGTCATATCAGATCAAAGTTTATCACTGTATATATGATATCAAGATTTTTTTCCTTCAGGTACTTCCTAGTCCTGATTTTTTTAAAGTGCATTACTGACTTTTGCAAATTTTCTTCAAGCTCTTTCTTGGCCACTTTTATTGTCAGTTTATGTTCAGCCTGCCAGAATTCACAATCCTTTCTCATCACATCATTTATATGGCGATTTTAAATGATGTTTTGTTTTTAATAACCTACCTGTTTCAGCAAGACAAGAATCTATTACCCTGAATCTACATTTTCCAGAAACATCCTTAGACCTGATCCTCAGCTGACTTGTACAAGTGAGGGATCTAACACATCAGTTCCAGTGACAACTTCAGGAACAACAGAACTGAGGACAGTTGAGGAAATAGGCACTGGTGGCACTTCTTGCTGAATTTCAATCCAAGCTTCTGTGATAATCCCACTCAGTAAAAAGCCCAAAGCTAAAACAAGAATCTTATATTTCCAAATGGGAAAAAGGGTTAATTACTTAATCTAGGAAATAATGCAAGGCAAGGAGGACAAATTCTCTTCCAGTAAAATACATAGATATATTGCAAAAACTTGTTGCAGAATGACTCTAAGAGCAGAACCATAGAGTTCTGGAGGACTGTGCAAGCAAGGCAGGGGGTGGCCCCCACAGGTGGCCGGAGACCGGACCTGGGAGGAGAATGTGGAGGAAGCTGTGGGGGCTAACCAATACTGTTATGCCAAGAAGGAGTGGCTGAATACCACTCCTATATATGTGTGAACTGCGTCACAAATAAACTAGAAGTTGCTTATCACCCATATTGGGTTGGCCTGCCTGCTTCTCCTCGCCGCTTACAAAAACTCTTCCTAGAGTACTAAAAAATATTGTGGTACCTATGTCTATTTGTTAATTAAAACTGCTTAGCATAAAATGTTAAAGCAAATAATTTATTCCAGTGGATTTTATTAGAATTAAATGTAATTTACAGAACACAACTCCATCAGCAATAAAGGGAACTCATTCGATTTTTTTATATCCAGCTAGGATAGAGGGCAACAAGACTAAGTCTTGTAACATATCCAGTGGAAAATACACAGAATGAACAATTGTGATCATCCTAATCCACTATTGATTCACAGCATGAAATATATATTTCAGAGCAACAAGCTTTGAAACTTACATGGACTATAAAACTCAGAGAAACACTCTTCCCCTTAAATGTTCCATTTTATATTGTTTTAGAAGAACTTAACTAAATCAAGCTGTTTAGGCTGACGTTCCTTCTTGGAACTCACAGGAAATAGGCTAAATCAATGGCTAATGGAAATAGGAGTACATAGACTGGCTCGCAAAGCACATTTATAATTTAAAACCAGCTCCTGAATGGATTGGTAGCCGCCCAAATTTAATAATAGATGTATTTGCGTATAAATAACTCCATACTGCCTCCTGAAATATGGATACACTTTCTTATTAAATTGTGAATGCAATATAAAGAAAAGTTGTCTTCATTTCCTTTAGGAACACAAATAAGTAATTATAATTTCAACTTATCATTAGTTACATTTACTTTCACCCACAACAGTTTCTGGATTACTTTCATAAACTTCTCTGAATACCCCATGTAAATAGCTGACAAGGCATTCCCCTAAAGCAAATACTAGATCTACTTGATATGCAGATCCTTGTGGATTTCAGTAACTAACGCTCTTAATATTTCTTTGTGACAGAAAGATACTCAGAAATTTGTGCATGCTCAGGAACACAGAAAATGTTTTTAATTATATTAAACTGAGGCAATAAGAATCTCATATGCTTTCTTAAGTAAGCATATGCAGCTTCAAATTCCAGCTTTATCATGTATTCACACCATTCCCACCTGTCATTTTAATAATAATATGAACCCTCAGTGGTATTAAAACTCTCATCTCTTTAGGAAAAACACAAAATTTTCATACCTGTCTATAAAAAATTAGGCAAACAGCAATTGAGATTACAGCTCAGCACCTTGCTTGACCTGTTTTTTAGCAGGTCAACTAAAAAAAAAACTGAGTTTTCATTAATGAATACACATACCGGTGTCCCGGCTACTCCTGGCGTGCCAGCTGGTCCCCGATCACCCTGAAGAAAAGATAAATCTATACATAAATGGTAATGCTTAAACCAGACATTTGTTTGTGGATTCCCATTAAAACCTGAGGAAGGATTATTAAGTAAATTGCAAATAAGGACAGGAGCCAGGCTCTGCTAAATGCTAACATTTAGCTCTGCCACCATCTCATTTTACAGGTTGGAGCAAGTAACATAAATCTTTTGTTTAGATTCTCTTGTGTAATGTCATAATTTCCATGCTATCCCTCCTATACTCTGCTTGAGGCCTTCCTTGAAAAGGGACAGAAAGTCCCTGACTTATCTGTAGTTTTCCAAATAATTATAATTTGTGATCATGACAATGTCCAGAATTCACATAGGGTAATTCACTATCCTATCAACAGCCCCATATTTAAGATGTACCTTTCAATGAAGCTTTTGCCTCCAGGCTACTTGGTCCTCCATTTCCTGCAAGTTGACATCTTCAAGTTGCTTGTGTTATGGTCCTTTCAGGGCAAAGTTTCTCCTTTTAGCATACACTACCTTCATCTATGCTTTAAGCTAAGACAATGGCTTTTGTGCTAGAGCTGATGAATTATGTGCACAAATTCATATTTATCTCTTGAGAGAACAATAGCCCAAAGCAGACAGTGGTAAAACCCTACCCAGTGAGATTTTTTTAAAGGTTGGACCAGATGATCCTTGAGGTCCCTTCCAACCTGGTATTTTATGATTCTATGATATGACTTGCCAGAACCTACTGCTGACATGTTTTGGACTGTAACACTACACTCTGCTAGTGAAACGTTGCTTAAAATTAAAGAAAAAAATCATGCTCCTAGTTTCTATAATCACAGAATCATAGGATAGTTAGGGTTGGAAAGGACCTTAAGATCATCTAGTTCCAACCCCCCCGCCATGGGCAGGGACACCTCACACTAAACCATGTCACCCAAGGCTCTGTCCAACCTGGCCTTGAACACCGCCAGGGATGGAGCATTTACAACTTCCTTGGGCAACCTGTTCCAGAGCCTCATCACCCTCACAGTAAAGAACTTCTTCCTTCTATCCAATCTAAACTTCCCCTGTTTAAGTTTTAACCTGTTACCCCTTGTCTTATCACTACAGTCAGAAAAGCCATACTAACTGGAGAATATTTTATGAGTTTATGTTACCTATAGCTGTTTTGCAAAAGCTCCACCAACACAGCTGCATTCACAGCAGCCATCTTCTCCTGTGCAGAAGAGCCCAAGGAGATGCTGGGATTTCTGGTTTCTGTTTTTATAACTAATACTGATGTGTCATTCTCATAATTTTGTTCAGGTAGTGCAATGATAATGCTGGTAATTGGAAACACTTAACTCCATTACACAAAGAGTAGACAGATGGTAAGTTAAATGTCTGATCTTGTGCCTGGGGGGAGAAGCTTGGCCAGCAGCTTACAGGCCACAGTTCAACCTCTCCTGCTCTGTAGGCTAGCAGAAAACACTTAATGCAAGTTCACCACTCAGTAAGGAACACAACAAGCACCTCAGGAACACCTGAGCATGGAGTATATTTAGCAGGGTATATTGACTGGAGCTCTGCATTCTATCCCTCTGGTTATTCAGGACCCAGAATTTGTATTGTGGTGTTTTCCCTATATATTGGCTATGACAGTGGAGCTAGAAATTCCTAACACTTCCTTTGCAACATTTGTCTTTTAAGAGTTATTTTGGTCCTTCCAGTAATGTGAGTTGCAGCATGGTTGCACAAACCACTGTGTCAGCATAGCTAAGGGAAAGGAAATTTCACTGCAAGGACACAAAGTCCTTAGGGCAGTTCACAAAATTATCATGAAATTACAGCCAGCATTGCCTGGGGAAGATGGTACACAGAGGTATGCAATAGCTCTAAATTAAAAACCAGCATGTACTAGGCCACTGGCAGGCAGACCGTCAGACCCTGTGCTTCTGTTCATTTATTTACACCAGAAATGTGACCAATTTAGCTAAGGAAAGGATATTTTTACTTTGGAAAAGGGCCAAACACTCACTAAGCTTGTTTATATAATCTGCTCCATTGGTTATTCTCTGATTAATTCTTGTCCCCACTTTGTCTCAGTTAAACCAGTAATATTTCCCTGTGATTGTTCATTTGAAATCAGATTAGCCTTTAATTGCTTGTAAATTGTAGTATTCCAGAGCAAGAATCATCTCATGTAACACCCACTATAGACACCTACCTTAGATATTTTCAATCACCAGTCTGCACAAGTAGGAGTAATGTGCAATGATTTTGAGAGAGAAAATTTTAATTTACATTGGTTTTTGGTGAAAAATATGTTTCAGGAAGCTATTTTTATATGAATCATTGAAATACATGTAATTAAAAAAGCTGAATAAATATTCAATTAAAAAAAACTTTTTTCTTAAATTTATAATACATGGGCAAAGTCTGTTTTCACTGACAGAAAACATATATACAGATTTTTTCATTTCTCCACTGATTTTTTTGTACTTTGCCATATTTAGAAATGAACAGCAAAATCTTGAATTTTTTAGCATTTCATGACAAGCTTTTCTCTAAATTCATATCAGCCTCCACAACTAGTAAGTGAAATGCTGACACATGCCCCCAGCTGAAGGAAGGGATCATTTCCTAGTCCTGGAATACAGACTTGAACCACAGGAAGGAGGTGCATGATGATGCATGATACATTTCAGGACGTGCTACAGTGGCATATTACACAGAGTAAAGTGTGCAACAACAGCAAAAAACAATACAAGGGGACTTTTTTAGAATAATGAGCAACAGTCCAAGAAAAGAGTGTTCTGCTCACTTTGAAGCAGGATGCATACAACAAGAACTGTATGGAACTGGTCTCTCCCTCCATTTCAACTCTTTCCTGTATTTTTATGCTCATCTGAACTTATACTGACATTTACACTCTTAGAACAAGACAGATGGACTGTAAGCCTAAGGCAATGTCTAGAGAACATGAACTAGTGACCATACTTAGGAACATGTTAACTATATTACTATGAAGTAATATAGTTATATATAGTTATATACTACATATAGTATACAGTAGCATTCTATCAAGTTAGGAAAATAAAATATTACAAGACCTCCTGCACACAATTTTCCATTTGTAGAAAGTGAAATTTTATGTTTGGTGATTTACATCCACAGTAAAGCAAAAAAAGGAAATACAGATAAATATACAAGTGTTTTTCAAGCTGAAACAGTAACTTACACTGCAAAAAAAAGATTCAAAAAACAAGGTTTCAGAAAACATTTAGATGCAGATAGTTGCCACTAGAAAGCCATGACTGAGTCCTACCTTTTCCCCTGGGAGTCCTTCCAGTCCTGGCAATCCCATTGGTCCTGGGTCTCCCTGATTATTATTTTTTTTAATTCAAAAAATTGAATACATTAGAATTCCTGTACTCTACATGAGAAATGTTGAACAACAAGCAACAGCAGACTTTGAGAAAAAATTATTTAACTTGACATTAGTAAAACAGCTAACCAGTTACCAGGTGAACAGATTTTGTTATGCCCTGTTTTAGCGATCTGTAAATTAAGCTTTTCCCAGAGACACTGTGTGAATATTGGATTCAATAGCTTTAATTTTGATGAAGAATGTAATCCAGAAGACTCCCCCACAGTGTTCTTGCAAGCCAGTCAGCTCTAAAGCACCTCGAGCCAGTAGAGTCCAAACATATAATCATATACTGTCAATCAGAGAACCAACCTCCAAGGAATTCTGTGCTCTGTTCCCTAAACAAAGCTTATTCTGCAGCAAGGGACACACAGACTAGGACACTGTATAGGCCTTGAAGCTTTTCTGTGGCAAAAACACACTCCAGGGGAGAAATCAGTTTAAAATGTAGATTAGAAGGCTATGAACTATAGTGACAGGGCACAAGCTAATGACAAATACAGTTCCTCTATTTTAAAGCCAAGTTACACACATGTCAAAGACCTTGGGAAAAATGGACACCAGGTCAGGATTTGGATCTACCTTCTGCTGGCAGTTAGCCCTATGCAACTTCTCAAGATTCTTCCACTAGTTGTCATTCCACCCCATAGTTTTTACACACAGATCACATGAAAAAGACATAACACAACTCTTACAGGAAAAAAATATCAGAAAGTTAAACTAATCTGCTTTTGAATGCCAAAATGCATATTTCAAGGGTATAGGAGCTCCCATGATCACCATCTTGCTCACCAGAAGCAATGTGAGCATACTGTAGTTAACCATCACGCCATTGACAAAGAAAATATTAACTTTTAGTTGTTACTGGCTAGCATGATGTAGCACACTGCTCTTTCTCCCTTATCACTTTCAAATTTATTGTTGAGAACAATCTAATAGCTCTTAAGATATTTTCTGCTTTTATTTCACATTCTTTATTAGATATATCCAGGGACAGCTCAGCAGAGATGAATCCACAAGTAGTTAATACTATGTTCAGTCATTCATTATATTATCACTTAGAACTTTTAACCAGAAATTACAAAATTCACAAGCCTGGGAATTAATAGGCTTTTTCAGATGAACTGATTTTGCAGGAGGTAAGCTATCTGCTAAACACTATCAAGGGACTCTTCTACCCTTGTGACTACAATTGTGTTGAAGTACTTGGTGAAATCTCTAACATGATCAAAAAATACATACATACCACTGTGCCAGGATCTCCTTTGGGACCCTGCAAATAAATAAAGTGGAAACACAATTAAAAAAACTCAAAAAATTCACACAATATGATGATATTTTTTGGTATTACCTATTAGAAATTATGTTTCTGTTAATACTTACGGGAGGTCCTGGTGGGCCTGGATAACTAGCAACACTCACACCTCCCTGTAACAGCGAGTTTAAAAGTTGAGTTGGGCTAGAATGAGGTATTGATTGAAAAACAAAAATATTAAAGAGAAATACCTGGAGTTTATATAAGCTGCTCATTCCATTTCTTTCATTGTAAGGCATACCCTTTAAAACATAAATACCAGGTAAGCGTCACAACTACGAATTATAAAAAGAGAACTCTTGCCCTGTTCAAGCCCTCTAGCCCAGCAAAGCTGTGGCATCATTTTCATTCTCAAACAACTTTTCAAGGCTTCTAGACACTTCAGCAAGAACATAAGATACATACCAATGCAGCTTGGGCCTTTTTTTTTAATTACAAAACAAGAAACCTGTAAACTCGGTGTATGTTACACTTTGATATTCTTATTATCCTAATTCTCCAGAACTGATTTTGTGTTAGGTACTATTCCAGTTAATTTGGAGTCCAGGTTGCTCCATGGACTTTCTCTAGGTTCCCTGAGTTCCCTGTTTTCAGGTACCCAAGCTGCATAAATTACTCTAGTAACACTGAGCACCAAGGTTAACTCAACTGACCAAGTTTCTAGGATGGTTTTATTGAACTGAAATTATTCCCTGATGAATCAAAGAAAAAAGAAGATTACAGAAACCTTTTGCAAAAAGACTTGTCTTCCTGCATTATTAATACATATTAGATCGACAGTCAATTCTTTGTATTATGTTACACTTTAACCACAGGTGCATTGTTCCTAATATAACATTCAAAATATAAACAAGAAAATATCTCACCGGAGGCCCAGGTGGTCCAGGTTGCCCAGGAGAACCTTCACTACCCTAGTACAGCAAGAGATTCAAGTAACTCAATTACTGTAACTTATGTCCTGATCTATTCCATACCCAAGCTATAACGACCATAATGACAATAAACAAGAGGTACAGTCAATATGAGCAACTAGTATCACAACTAAATTTTCCTGCCCAGCTCCTGCTTAAGCTTTAGGAAAGTTAGGAATTGTTACTTTAGTTTTTTATTTTGTTAGTTACTTGAAGCTTTATTGTAGTAACTTCCTTGTGGCAAAACAGTAGTGGTAACCTGGGTTGTGAAAAATTTCGTAAGCACCAGGAGAGAGAGGAAGGGAAAAAGTATCAATTTCTAAGCAACTGGTAGACAAAAGTTAACATAAATTTTATGTTTTGTCCATTATTTTGCAAAAGCTAATCTTCAGTTAATCATTCACAGGTAAATACAAAAGAGCTATAGTTTCAGAAGTTCAGTTTATTTAGAACACACTGAATGAAAATAAAGATCTTTATTTAGGTATACAATTAATATATTTCTTGGGGGTTTTATTTTTGAATATTCATCTGTGCATCCACAGTCTGTTCTGCTGATGTGCACTGAACTACTTATATTAAAAAAAAAATAAAGCTTCTGAGTTTTTGCCCCAGCAGAATGGTGGAGTTTCTGAACAGTGAAGAGTTGCAAAGGTTTCAACATCAAATTTCCCAATTTTTTTTTAAAAGTCTCATCTCTACAATCCAGTTAAAAACACTGTATAATGTGGAACAAATTTTCCAGAATTTTTCACTGACTTCACTGCATCTTATTAAACATAAGTCAGTGAGATACTCAGGCTGCATATTCAAAATTCTTAGGGTAGCAAAAGGCAAGCTAAATGTTCAATGGCAATAATTAGCTCACTGGAAAAATACACAGAAAAATATAACTGTAATTAAATGTTTACACAAAGATAATTTCCAAATGGCCCTGCTAACTGATAGAAACTATCAGCCTCCATGAGTGACCTGGAGTACTTCATGGGAAATAAAAATACTCTAATTTAGAGATCATATTATATGATTTCTCAAACATATTCATCAGATGAAAGAGAAGCAGCAAGTGATTCTGGCTATATTTCAGTTTACTCTTCAGCCATCTAACTTCTGCCCTTTTTGATTTATGAGACACTAGTTATAGAGCAGTGGCTTCTCATTCTCACCTACATGTGAACTGTAAACAAGGAACCAAATGGTTACAGAAAAAGGAAATGTGTGGTAAATTTTTCTATTATGGCCTGCAAGGAGACAGCTTTCAATCAGTTTCTATACCGAAATAATTTCAGAGCTTTACAAAATAATTTCCTTTGTTACTCATACCAGAGTCAAGGTTTTGTAGAATATTAGTAGGATCATATACCTTGATGTGACAGTGCTATGCCTGGAAAATTCCAGGCTGACGTTGAAAAAAAGATCAGAAAAGTGTATTCATATGCAAAATGGAGAACTTGTGCCAGAAAATATTTTGCAACAAACTAAGTTTGTGTCTTCTGTATTTCATTTATCTGAGGTGCCCAAGAAACGAATTTGATCTTAGTTATAATAAATAATATCCAGTGCCTGATAAAAGAGCACATAAAACATTGACAAAAAACAGTGCTATAGGAGTTTAAATTAAGTATAAAGGAAGCTTCTGTATTTTAGCAGAGTAACTTATACTTAATAACTTTCAGTACTTGTGAAGCGCTTTTACGTAATTACTTTTGACTAAAATAGTGGTAAAAGAATTAGAAGAAGAGCGAGTAGTAACTAGTCAATATACTATTTCACAAATGTATTTTCACTTTCCTAAATTCTATATAGTATGTCATACTTAGAGCACATGCTCTGCAATTTACACACACCACATGGACTGTGATTCAATATATAAGCCCATAGTACATCTGGGGGGGAAAGCACTTGCATTAGGACACAAATAAAAATTAATTTGAAAATATACGTCAAGCTCTTGTTTGCACTCTATATTAAAAAAAAAAACCAAAACATTGGAGTATAATGGGATTGCAGAACCTGCATGGATTTTTGCCAAGACTAGAAAGCAGGAATACCTTTTCGCCTTTTGACCCTGCTGGACCGGGATGTCCAGGTCTTCCTGTGACTCCCTGCACAATACAGTATTGGTTTATATTAGTTAAGAAACAATGAAACACAGTATTTTTGCACCAGAGCTTAGTTTTTAAATCTTGTACTCCTTGAAGGTCATTTAAATCGAACTATGCTTCTCCTCCAGGCTTATGTGTTTCTCTTCTGTTTGATACCACAGCTGTACCCTTCCGATTAGCCCTTTGAAGGATAAAACTTGTGTTTACAGTTGCATTTTCACCTTTGCAGACTAAATGCACTACCTTAATGGCACCTTTTAATACTGCTAAGAATCATCTTTTACTGCTAAAATGTCAATTTACATATTGTACACTAAAATTCCTAAATGGGTTACAATTTTTAAAAGAAGGGAAGCATCAGTACCATCAGCAACCTAGAAATTCATAGAATCATAATGATCAGACTAACTAATGTAATCCCATCCAATATGTCAAAAATAACGTTAAAAAAAACCTCCAAAAGTACTTTTCCCAGAAATATCAACATTTTTAATTATAGCTTTCAGTGACTTGAAATATTTCCAGTTTATTTTTATACTTCTGCAGTTATGAAACCAAGTGATTACTTGGTTTCAACATTAAATGTTTTCAGAATGCCTAGCTGGAATTATTTTTAGATTTTTATTATTAACAATATTACTGTAACTTGGTAGAAATACATCATTAACTTCAAGTATGCACATCATAAGTCATTTAACCTCAGAGTCTCTAGTAATGCCAACACTCCAAACCCATTTAACTTACATAAACTTTGAGCCCAGACAATGACAGTATTTTCAGTAACATCAACTCACAACATAGTTTCTTTTATTAGAACCACTATGGGCAAGATTGTATTATTACTATCCGAAAAGCCAAAAGACAGGACAAGGAACTAAGAATGTGAAGTTTTACTAGATAGTTACAGAAACCTCTGCAGAGATAGATTAGATCACAGGTGATACCACATACTTACAGAAGGTCCACTGGGTCCTGGAATGCCTGGCAATCCAGGAGCACCTTGAAGGCCCTGGGAATTAAAAGAGCATATGAGTACTTCCTCTCCCACTTACTACCTGGAAACTACTTATATCCAGCATGTTTAGCAGTACCATAAACTACGTTAAAGCACATTTTTATCTAAAAGTTTGGCAGTATTTTTAGGAATGAAAAAAGTCAAACCCACCATGGAAAGAAGAGATTATCATTGAACAAGGCTAGAGGCAACTTCTTGTTTGACTGACAACACTTGTCCTTCAATCTTTCACATTGTTAGCTTATGTCCTCTATATCATTTTGTCTTTAATTGTGCAGAAAATAGCAGGACTAGAGAATAATTTTCTATTTTCTACCACTAAAGCTTTTGGGGTTTTTTTTTTTTTTTTTTTTTTTTTTTTTCTGGAGAGAAGACAAATGCACAGATTTCTCATTTTTACCTGATGGTATCTAAATGCGAAGGTGATTTATGCTCAATTTATAGCTTTTGCTTTTTAGATAACAGAACATGACATTTTTCATAGTACTTAATGAACTACTTTCCTGATCTTTTTGTATGCAGCTGTCTGAAAATTGATGAATTCTGGTGTCCACTTACTAAATATACAGGTGTGCAGCTTACTACAGTGGATACAGCTAGGATTCGAGACAAGCCTGCATGTCACTTAAGTCTTTCTTCTACCACACCAGACTTAGACGCAATTTTAGACAGGTACAGGTCATGTACTAATGAGAGCCAATCACTCTTGGTGACCCCTATAAGTCACAAAGGGAAATTAGTCCCTTCCAAACAGTGGTTCAGTTTATCTGCACAGGGTGCCTACCCTCTGACAAGAGGAGTGACCTCAGAAAAGATCTTTTTCTTATATTAAATGCAGTGTTTAAGAAGGCATGGCTAAAGGGGTAGTCTGGAAAACCAGAGAGGACACAAGTCCTGAAATACTGAGATACTGAAGGAAAAACTTCAGGCAGAAATAAATCAGGAAAGATGCAGAGATGGAGAGAGACATTAATTTCCTTTTCTTGCTGCTACACACAGAGGACACTGGTCCACCTCTGCACCTTTTCAGAGTGGCAATCCAAGTGCTAATGTGTTCTCTGCTCATTTTGATTTACTTAACTGTGATGATACAGTCACCTGAAAAATTAATATGAAGCCAAAGGAACATTTTCTGTAATTCTCACTACTGATGTTAGAAAAATCCTCCCCTGGAGAAAAGAATCTTTTAAAAAGGAAGAGAACTAAGTTTCAACAAAGATTAAAGGGCTATTCAAAAGCACATGGAAGCTAATGAGCGTATTTCAAAGTTTCAGGTGGGCTTCTCAATCTCTCTTCCCATTTCCATGTTAATAAATCATAAAAATGAGAATAAAATCCAGAAATTTGTAGAAAAAGGTTGCCCTTAAACTTCAGAAACTCTTTAATTTTTTCTGAAAATAAATTCACTTGCACCCTCATAATGTCATAATCAAAAGCTGCTGCTAAACACTGAAAACATCAGACCTAAGGCAGCTAGGCAGCTATCAAACTGAAGAAGCATGTAAATGGGTAACTTACTAACACAGCATGACACACTGCTAAATCAATAATAATAAAAAAAATAATTGGAATTTATTTACTCTGGAGTCCTTTTAAAAAAACTAACTGCCAGTTACAATCATGCCTTTTCCTTATTACATTTTTAATTGCCTTAAGGTTTCACTTGGTTCTCAGCAGTCAAATAGTATCTAAATTGTTGAAACTGCTTTGCTAATGCCTCAGACTTGCTAGGGTTGAACTCTACAAGTACCATATAGGGCAAATGAAGGATGTGTTACTTTCCTATTTGTTTTTTAAGCAAAATTCTGCTTGTGCTTTACTTGTAGCCTGCACCATCATTTTAAGGTATGTGTTCTAAATCCAACTTCAGGAGTCACTTGCTTTTAAGAAGCAAAGACAGAATGAGCTGTATAGATTGTGTAAAAATAAAAGCAAAAATAAGCCTGACACTTTAGTCTGATAGTCTTCTAAATTCTGGGGCAGAGCAGTAGCAGGAATACATATTTAAAAGCTTCTGTAGCATCTTTGTTTTTTTCCTCATTTAACTATTTACTTTTGAAAACCAAGGATCCTGAAATTTATTCAAAATTAATATATTTACTTAGATTCATTTCTTTAATAGCTTCTGCTTAGGTGATTTATTTTTATTTATTTATTTATTGACAGAGATTGCTCTTGTTAATTGCAAATATTTCAATTTAAAATTAAAACTACAGCAGCTATTTTGGATTTAGCACCACAAGTGACATAACTTTTTCCCTTCTTCACAACAACATAAAAAACTCTAAGAATACACCATATGGAGGAAAATACTGTAAATATTTTAAATTCAGTCTCTTCAAACATTTTCCATTTTCCATTTAGTAGTAATTGCTGCTATAACCACTCCCATCAGAGTATTTGCCTAATGGAATGTTTTTGAAAATGAATTCTAAAGGGGAACTAGCACAATATAAGCAAATATGTTACAAAACATGAAGTATTTTCTGAAAACATTTGGCATTTGTCTATTTATTGCTCTATCCTACACTCTTAAAAATTAGCATTTAAATGTATGTGAGGCTTTATAATACACAAATGAGCAAAAACCCCCAGACAAAAATTAAACTGATGTTATTTAATTGAATAATAGCATTTAATCTTGTTGAAAATTCAGAATGTATTTAGAGCAATACATTAGTATCTCGGCAGTTTTAAATAACTGAATAACACTGTGCATTTCACTGTCAGTCTCGATCTTCATTCAGGTTCAGATAAGAATGCAACCATTATAAAAACGAAATAACTTTACCTCATCACCTTTCTCTCCAGCAAGCCCAGGAAACCCACGTTCACCTTTGCTTCCCTATGAAAATGTAACATTCAAACAAATACTTTCTATTAGCAAACAATGAATTTCATGCTCCCTAGGGCATTTTATGCCCTGCATTTAATACATGAAGCCCTCATAACAATAGTGCTTAATACAGAAAAAAATGCTCAATACTACCTGAAAGCTTTAAAATATGCCTTCCATCAAGGTGAAAGGCAACATGTGGTTCATTTCCTAATAGGCAAACTAGCCAAGAGCAGACATATAAGTAATAGCAAAGAATTTAAATGCTTCCCAAAACAGAGAACAACACTTCCATGAAATTAGGCTCAACTATAGGAGATATCTATATGCCAAACCATGTGGCACTTGATCCAGTTACAGTGAAGCAGAATTTTGATTGGCATCAGTGAAACTTCAAGTCTCAGAAAAACAGTTGTGCTAATCCCATTGGAATATGGGGCAAAGGCAAAGGGTGGTCCAGATGTTGCACGCTTGAAGGAGACACAGGTGGTTTTCTTCTTCACTGCAGGATTCTTGCCCACCTAAAATAAGCCTGTAGATGGCAATGCACTAATAAACAGTCAAATTTGAGCTAGCTTTAATGGATGCAAAACAGAGAAAAGCTATCCTGGTGTGGGACTCCATTCAGGCTATTTTGCTCACTTTCCTGAAAGGAAAGCTGAAGTGACATAGGAAGAGGGCTGAACTGTTAAAACAATCTTTAAGCTGCTCAGGTGCCACAGGGATAGGATTCAGACAAAAAAGTCAAGGCTGTCAGGGGTAAGAGTCTGGCCTTTTACTTTTAATAAGTAACAAAGCAATATAAAACACTCTTCAAAACTTACCTTTGGCCCTTCTCTACCAGGGATGCCTGGTGGACCTCTTGTGCCGGGATCACCCTGAGGAACACACAGAAAGCAAAGTGAAAAATAACTATTTTTATGACATAGGCAGAAGGTCTGCAGACCTCCAATCATTCTACCTCAAAGCTTTATCTTCAGTCCTTTATCTCTTCTACACTATACTTGTTCAGATAATCCTTCCTTGTTTCCCTCCCCATCTCTCACACACTCTACTCAAACTGTGCTAACAAATGCATTTTGAGAGGACTCACAAATGACTGATTTGAGTAGTCCCAGACATGCCTGTGTTTGGGAAGAGCAAATCCTCTCCCTTTTAAGGATCAGGTAGGATAAGTATACTTGTTGCTCTCACCAGCTTTAAATGTATAGTTACTTTAAAGTAAATGATATCGGGTTTGTTGAAAGAAGCGTTTTGCAGCAAATCTTACAGAGATGCTAACCACAAAACACAGAGTGATGAAGAATGAAGCATAAGGAAAGGAATTGTTAAGAGAGAGTATTGACAAAGACATAGAAAAGCACATACAGGAGAAAGACAATACATTTATAAAAGAATCAGGGGGAAAAATGAAAGACAAACCTAAACATAAATCAAATTTATGAACGAGAAGGTCAATAAAACCTAAGTACATGTGTTAACAAAGGATAGTAGAATAGGATAATCGCTTTTCTAGGAAATGATACTTGCTTTTCATACTGAAATCCTCCTGATATACTTTTCCTTTGGGAATACTGCAGATCACTTCAAATTTTATTATTTTCAAAGTAATACCTTAGAAATTCTAGACTATTTTCCCCACTTGGTGTATTACCAATATTAATGCTTCAAAGTAAAACAAAGAATGAGGTATACCTGTAGTAATTCATACTGTGGATTGGATGTGCTGAACAGGCACCTGTTGGCTACATGCCTCATACCTACTACATGGCCTCATGTACCATTCAAATGCTATTTTGTGAAATTCCTATAAAATAAATTTCTTGAGTATTTTTAAAAAAATAAATCAAAAATCAATAAAACCTCACAATTAATTTAGGCTAGCTCAGTAGGCCAAAACTGAACATATCCAAACTTTCAAGTGCATACTCTGGTTTAAAAAGCATGCTGATAGTAAAAAAAAAATATTTATTTATATCTGAAAATGTTTACCTTCAGTATAGCACCCATGTCTCCCACAAGTGGCAGTGCAATCTGAAATTAAAAAAGGAAGCTGCAGTTCATGTTTTATAGAATGCTACCAACTCTGATGGGTTCTCTTTGCTTCTAAAGTTTATACTGTTATACACATAACTGGTTGCATATATATTGGCTGAAGCTCTTTTTTATGCAAATGCAAAAGAAAAATAAGGGTTCCAAATATAGTTAAATATTGCTCTCCATCCAACCTAACAATGTGCACACTTGAAGGAGACACATTCTCATTACAACTTCAATCAACTTCAATCAAGTTCCTTAAAGCATGACAATAGTGCAACTTCAGAACACAGTAAATTTAATTTAGAAGTAGTATTACTATATTACTATGTAGCATACCATCAACAATTTACCACTACTGGGAAGTCTCACAGACTATTCTCACCTGACTATCTTCAAAAGTTCTAATTCTCTTTTCTCCTAGGCTTTGACTCTACTGTGAACTGTAGCACAAAATGGGGAGATGCCAGAGCTAACTTCAATAAACGAACTCAGATATCAGAAAAAATCCAGCTACAGCAACACGTGTAGTGTTTTGTCCCACATTTAAACATTAAGTATGAGTACAAAACTCTGTGGTGCCATAGCTAAATTACTACCAATACTAAAGATAACCTATTTGAAGCTCAATCAACAGATTTACGTTTCACTGCAATATATGTCGGATTTCCAAGAGCTGCCATTAAACTTATATTTAAAGATTTCCTTTAAAAACTGATTGCACTGGGTATCAGCTTCACTCACAAATGGACTCTTCAATTACCAATGTTCATTTCTTCTTGCAAATGCTGAAGCAAAAATAGCCCTGGGCATACTATAAAACTAGACGTATCCAAAATCTGTTTATTGTTCAGTCTGTTTCAGTCATTTCCACCTTGAAGAACAAAGTAAAAAGTGAGCACTTTTGTAGCAAATTAAAAAAACCCACTGGACTGCCAGTTGGTGGCAACAGGTATCAAACACAAGGTCAGGAGAAACACTGCTGAACATGCTTAACCATAATTGTAATCAGTTTACCATTTACAGGTAGCATCGGCACCTTTGAAACTATACCAAGTTTTCTAGGGTGAGACAGCCACCTAATACAACTTCAGGACATAACTATGTAAAGGTATGAAGTCCATCCTCTGCATAAAGGTAATCTGTACACAGACAGCATCACCTGCTCTTAAAAACCTGTAACAAGGCTTAAAAATAACAACTACATCTCTATATGGCGTGACTTTTCATCCTTCTCCTTGTGACATTTTACAGATAGGCAGGCTATTACTCTATTCCCTGTTTGGCTTTCTGCTGGACTACACAAATGTTTCCCCAGTCTCTGTTTCTAACATTCTTATTTTAGCTGCAGTACCATTTTATGTTACAGGCCCCCAAGCCCTCAGTGTGAAAAGTCCCTAACATTTAGCTGCAAGGGCACACCACGTATGAGAGCAAGCCTACCACGTTTTTGCCGTACAGTTCATCTGCTCTGTATATACAGCAAGTACAGCCTAACTGCACACACACTGCAGATTCGTGGTTGCATATGCTGAACTCTGAGTAAAGGCACATATCTGGGAACACATGAAATAAAATAATATAATAATAATAATAATTAAGAAAGAAGAACTAGTTGAAGACATTTTATATACAGAATGAAAATCTGTTGTAATTACGTATTCTCTGATATATGCTGACCTTCTGAAAGTGCTAAAATGGCCTTAACTCTCTGGCTTACTCTTGCAGGCTACATCTTTCTTTAAAAATGTTCTCTCCAAAGAGAAGAGTATTTGAAGAGAGCAAAAGGCAATAATTCTCCTGTTAGTAGACCTGCCTGTTTAGCAATGGCATCAGATTATTCACTTACATTTAATTTGCAGTGCACTGTGTCTTCCAAACCTATCCTACTTAAAGGATTTTTTTTCTTATCAAGCACTTTATGCTCATTTTCTCACGTTTAATCTTGTTGACTTCAGACTGTCCCTGAATATTAAGTTTTGATTGTATCTTCAAAAAGCTAGCAATCTTTCCCAGTTCAATTGCAGATTTTACATCTACTTTTCCTAATCAAATCACTGACAAGAACTAGGCATGTTAGAGACCCCTCTTTCCAAAATTGACAGTAATCTGGTGATAGACACTCCTATCATATATTTTGATGAGCATCAACTATATGGCAGTTACTTCAAAAACAGCTTTTGCTTGCTTATCAAAACATCATGAGGACAGTCTCAATTTTTTCTTGAGGCCAAGGTATATAACATGACTGCTTCCCTATATTTCTCAAAACGTTTACCTTCCAAAACCAGAAATCTGCTTTATTCCATGACTGGTTCTTAACAAAACTATGCCATCTTGTGTTTCCACTTTATCATTCATACCCCTGTACTTAAAATATTTCATATCTTTCTTGCAATTAGCCTTTTCTTTTTTTTTTCCCTTTCAAGTGACCCATTATACTCTGGCTCCTCTTCTATTCACCTCTTATGAAGATAAGTTTTCTGTTAGCATCTCTCTCTTTCTCAAAATCTTTCTCAAAGTACTCAAAAGTAACTGCTAATCATTAATAGACCGCTCTGGTTCATTCTTTGGGTGAATAACACCAGATCTTCATGCTGTATCTAAAATATCTTTAACTAATTTTTTTTTATTTTTATTACTATTGTTAAAAAAAAATCATTTTATGTATTCTCTGAAGAGCAATTTATTTTTTCAGTGTGCAGTAAAAACTACTGAATTGCTCAGCTTCTTCACACAGTTTATAATTTGATCTACATGATTATTAAGTAACAGACTTTACCGGTCTTTCAAATTGTATTCATGCTGCCTTTTTCTTGTTATTTTTATACACATTCCTAACTGAAGCTCACTGTATATTTCAATCTTTGCGACACTGACTTGAGTTCTACCTTTATACTCAATGCCAGTGATAGACCAGCTTTCAGGTACTGAATTTAGGCCTTTGAGGAGCTAGTGATACTCAAGTGCTTTCTAAAACATGGGGCCAGAATTTACTTAGTGTTTTTGTTTTCAAACCCAGCCACTTAACTTTCCTAAGTGCTAAGGGGAATTTACTGCATTAGAAACTAAATATTCTCAGAATTTAATTAAAAATTAATGTCTTCTTTCTGTGGCGTAGCAAAATTAGCTTTGGAATCCCAAACTTTCCTTTTCAACATTTTAACAGCAATTATCAAAGTATAATTCTGAAAATTTGCATTATGCAGAAATGTTTCTGAGACGTACAGGATCACCTGGAGGGCCTGGTAGTCCTGGCTTTCCATCTCTTCCTGGAGCACCCTAGAAACAAATATAAAATTTGATGGCCTTAAAGCATTGGCAAGAGACACATTAATTTTCGCAGTATATGTAAAGAACTGTCACTTACATTAATACCAGGGGTACCCGGAGTTCCTGGTAATCCTGGGGGTCCCCTAGGGCCCTAAAAGCAGGAAAGATCATTTAGGATTTAAGAATATTTCTCTTTTATTCTAAACTTCTTGAACTTAATTTATTTTTTGATAATAAAGAAAAAACATATATCCTACCTGCATACCTGCTGATCCAGCTGGACCTACAGGACCCTGCAAGAAAACTCCAAATAATCAATAGTTACACTTTTTCGGATAAGGGAGATTAACACCGTAAAAAAATAGTACTGAATGTGGGAAACTGGTTCACATTGCAGGGAAGATTTTCTCTAAGTTTGGTTTTGAATCCAAATCTAATTTTGCCAAAATGAGAGAATTTGAGATTTTGCTGAGGTCCATTTTTAAGGGCAAGTAATATCAAAGAATATTGATCTGTGGTGAAACTTGCTATTTAGCTAGGAGTTTTTTAAGATAAACTGATATTCAGCTGAATAATAATAATTAAAAATATTGTTTAAATACAAATGGATAATTTCAAAAATTCAGGTTTGAAAATATTTTAACTGAATAATTTTTAAGGTTACTATGTTAGATTAAGGTCTTATTGTGAACCTCTAGTCAGCTTTATCAAACATTTTCACTCTGTACCTGAGTCCTGCCAATAAACTGAAATGTATCAGCTGACTATATTGGTCTGGACTGCAAAAAGATTGCTGTCTTCACCACAGTAAAACTCACATAATAATATGTAGCACTGGTCATCTAAACCATCAGTATTATAATTTTTTTTACTGAATACTCTGAAGACACTGCAGATGGCTTTATTTAAAGGCAACAGAAACAAACAATCTCGAGAAACTGTGTAACTGAAACAGTTATTGCTATGCAAGTTATTCAGTATGACAGCTCTAGATAGACTGCATCGACTTCATGTTTACATTTAAATTGCACAGAAATGAGAGAAGCAAGCTGTGCAAAATCAGGACTTTACTATTCCCTGGTGCAGTACCTGGCACTGTAAGGTTCTCATTTATAAGTGGTAGAATCTAATCTTGTAATTAGCAGTCATCACAAATGCAAAAGCTAGAAGCTGATGCAAAGCCAAAACCTTCCACATCTTTTCCATGTCTTTATGTCTTCCAGTACCAGCATGGATTTCAAAATGCCATTGTCTGCAATGTCAAGTATACCCCTTCTCTTGTACCAGTAATCAGGCTAGATTTTGCTGACAACAGCAAACAACTGTTGCTTAGAAACTGACACAGTCTGAAGATGTGTGAACACCATCCCTAGAAAGCCCATCTGTAAAGTAGTCAATGACTCTTTCAGTTCTCCAAGGCTTTGATTTCTCACTTAGCTGTAAATGTTTCTGGGTCTAGATAAAGGGAAAAGATGCCGAGTTGAGAGCTGAGTCAGTAGGGAGTTCATGGCATGAATTTTTACTATGCTTTGTTTAATCATTGCAGTTTCTCAGTAGTGCACAGTGAGAAGTCAAAATCCTGGGTGTGGATATACTTACTGGTGATCCCTGAATGCCTATTCCAGGGGGCCCCATCTCCCCAGGTGCTCCTTGGACACCAGGTAGTCCTCTTTCTCCCTGAGAAGGGTACAAGGCTTTCAGTTACAAAAGTTCTGAAAATGTAAACTAGCATATTACCTTTTTTTGTTTTCCTTTTTTAGAAACAGAAATAACATATTTATTTGTTATACCTTTGGTCCCCGTGGACCTGGGTTTCCAGGAATACCAGTGGGGCCCTAAAAAAAAAAATAAAATAAAATAAAATAAAAACTGCAGGAAAAAAAAAACAAATTATGTTTTGAAATCAAAGAGACCATCTGAATTTTACTGCCAAAATTAGTCAGCCTTTACAAATAAACTATGAAATATTTAGATGTATTTTCCTCATTAATACCACTGTCACTAGGAGCACGCGTGAGCCTTGCACTATTTCTAGACTATATTTCAGTGCATTTACAACTATCTCTATAATGTGTGTTTCAACTTTGAAAGTACATTAAAGAAAAATAATTGTTCTGATTTCTTTCATTGCACAATGAGAATACGCGTGAGCCTTGCACTATTTCTAGACTATATTTCAGTGCATTTAACAACTACCACTATAATGTGTGCTTCAACTTTGAAATTACATTAAAGCAAGCTGATTGTTCTGATTTCTTTCATTGCACAATGAGAATTCTTAAACAGTTGTCCCAATAAGAAATTGTCATAATAGCCCTTTCAGGTTACGGACTTACTGGTGCTCCAGGCAGACTTGGCCCAGGAGGTCCCACATCACCTTTGGGACCTGGGTGTCCAGGTGGTCCCATAATCCCACCAGGGTCCCCCTACAAGACAAATTTGAATCTCTAATTGAAATGAGAGAATTTCCTCTTATGTAAAACCTCTAAATATTGTCAAGGTTATCCTAGAAAGTACCACTACTGTGGGAAGAAACAGAAGAAAAAAAGACACATATTTCCCTGCCAAAACTTAGAGGAGGCATGGACCACACAACCACTAATAGTAACTAGTATTCTCTCAGTTTTTCTTGCTTGCAGTGCATCTAATCTACATTTCTTTGCCCCCAGGCCCCCAACGCACAGATTGTCATTAAAGCCTGTCAATTAATTAATAGCAACAGCTTCAGACTCTTTCTTCAGCTATATCTCTCTAGTGCTAAAATCCTGGTCTTCATTGGTATTCCTGTTTGCATCTCTCTTTCTTACTTCAATGCATGCAGCATCTCCTGCTGCTCATCTCTACAACTCCTTCACACAGGTGATTTTGTGCCTTTTATTATGCTGTCCTCTTGTTTTTTGCATGCTCTTGCATCATCCTCTGTGATTCTTTTTGAATACACTATTTCACACTTGCAAGACATTTTGCTCATTGTTCCAGTTATTTTCTTCTCCTGCCTCTTCATCAGCTCATTTCTTCAAACTATTAAGGGATTTTATTAGTTTCTCTTGTACCCACAATGTGTAAATACCATAACACATCACACAATATGCCTGTGTACCTGCTTTTCTTCCCTTTTTCTTACATTCAACATATCATACATACAATTTTTAACTCTTGCTGGTGTGGCTGAATTAAAATGAAGGGATTTCTACCCATCAAAAGATAAATTCCATAAAGAGATCTCAGCCTTGGCTCACATCTGAGACAGTATAGCTGCCTCAGTGCTCTGCCAAGATGAATGTGTCTGATTCTGAAGTGGGATTTTACAGAATAGTCTGGTTACAACACTGCACTGAAAAGGCTGTTCTGTGCTTAGGACCTGAACTGACATTTCTACACTCAGAGATTTAATGTAAGAGCCCAGCACAACCTCCTTGAATCTGAATTATGAATCTGAACAGCAATTGGGTTGCCTAACTAGCCTGTAGCATCTCCAAGGAGCAGAGATGGGGTTGCTACTTGAACATTTTAAAATCAGTTCATAAAGCAGCCACACAGATGCGCTACAGAAGATGGAAGGTTACTTCAGAGATGAGATTCTAATATGCTCTAGCACATCAAGCTTAATAAAAGGCACTTAAAACATACCTTGTCTCCTTTAACACCTGGCCTTCCTGGTACCCCATGTTCTCCTGGTAAGCCCTGGAATTAATAAAAATACAGCTATATATTAAATTATATACTGTGCATTAGTATTGCCCTAAAATGTTAAAAAGTAGAAGTTAATGAATGCTTCTTTAGTCAAATATACGTATCATTTTTCTTTAAGTTGAATAACCAAGATTATTTTCTGGACCCTATCAGGGCAGAATGGCAGAGACTGACACCTTTATTTTTTCAATTTAAAAATAATTACAAGCCTTGAAAATCAACCATTTTTTTTTTCAAGGAAGGTGGTAGCAGGGACAAACTTGAGTTTTAAATAAGTGTGTCATCCTTTTTGCCTGTGAAGGACTATGTGATTTTCTTCACTAGTTATTCAATTTTGTATCTTAAAATCCTCAATGAATTCCTATTCCCGCGCATCACTAAATCCACCAAATTCCCTTTCAGCAAAATAAAAATATTCAATCCTTTCTTTTGTCAAGATCTTTATTCTTTCACATTTTGATTTTAACTTTAGCATTTTCATGATGGATTTCTTATAAATGCAGATAAGTGAAATAGATTAAAATATAAATAGAAGCTATTTAAATAATAGAGAAGGCTAAATTGTGTTCCCTTACTACAGCATAACAAATGCAGAAAACGTTTTCCATAACCCACCAATGCTATTCAACCAAGTATTATATCAAGCATTTTATTAAGAATGCTAGTCATTTCCACAGTAAATGAGAAAATTGCCAAAACTGAACACTAAAATCTGAGTATGATACTTAATCCATAAGGGAAAAAGAGCTAATATAAAAAACACATATGGCTTCTATTTTTCTATGCAGTGTGAAATATAGTTTTGTGAACACTGACATATGAAGGGTGACAACATTTTCATGCCAGTAGTGAAGGCTCAGCAGCTGTGTGTTCACTCGATCCACTGTATTCTGTCCTTAATACAGACAGCTATTTCTTTTACCCAGCCATCCAACTTAAGAGTATAAGAAAAAAAGAAAACACAAGTACCTTAATGAAGACTATTCTGCTTATATCAAAACACAATCATTATGAGAATATATGGAAGTTTAAATTTACTGATTATGGATGTGACATTGTGTCCTACCTTACCTTATTTTGACAGTGACATAAAATACCTACAGCCTATCTTCTTTCCTAAGGATTTTTCTGTTTGTTTTTTTTTTTTTTCTTAGACCAAGATTAAGGGATCTCTTTGGAAAGAAGTCCTGTCTGCTGGATGGCTAACCTTTCACAGTTTTCATCATGCTGCATAAAATGAATTGTATTTGTTAATCCATAATGTTTCATATTTAGAAGGTGAAACAAAACAACAGGCCTGGATCTAAATATATGTTTCTGCAATATATTTAAATATATGTTTTTATATACTAGAATTGTGTGTACAAATATGGATCTTCAAGATCTACATATACATATATACAGTATTTATCTAGTCATAACGTCACTTGGTCAAAGATGCAGCAGAACAGCAGTTTCAAAAGCAGCAATTATGAACTCAAGCAGGATAATGAAAAAACAAGCAAAACATAAATGCAGTATTTTGTTATCTCTCAGAGTAAGATTTGGGATCTATCTATAAACAGAAACAGCAGAAAAGGCTTACAAAATATTGTCATAGAAGACAATATTACAGATATATTAGACACAATTTAAAAACATGTGCCTCAACTGAGTATGAAAATAAGGTGTGAAGCAATGCTCAGCTTGAATACTAGTTTTTTTCTCTGCCAAGAGTTGAAGATGCTGTACTCCAGTTGTCACTGCTTATATCCCTAAGACTTTTAACATGTCAACAATAAAAATCTGCCAGTTGTACCACTCAGAATTGTATTAATATTAATAATGTATATGATTTAAAAGTCTGTTCAAATTAAAGGTTCTCTTCCACAAAGTAGCCTCAGAGCATGTATGGAAAGGCCTAAGAAAATGTGCAGCAACACCACCTCCTAGATGCTTCCCTTTCTAGAAAAAAGAGAAACCAAAACCAACCCACAGAGCAAAGATCAAAATCTGATTTCAGTTAAATGGTTTAACTGCTAGACTAAAGCCAAGCTTGCCATTGTCTGCTTCTCTGGTTCACTTCTTAGATCTAACCACTCAAACTTCCAAAATGGTACTTAAAAACTATTTTATGGTTTATGGATGGAGGGAGGTGAACCAGGGAGAGGAAGTAGATGCCACTTGTGAGGTTATGTGACAACACCGGTGTTGTGGACTGAAAGCTTTCAGTTTGCAAGGGGGATTAGGCAGAACATAGTTACCTGCATACCTAAAAAGGGACTGACCCATAATTTGGAAGGAAGACAGGCAGCTATCTTCCGAAGACCTTCTGCTATATTACAGTATCAAGTCAAATGCCCAGGGAACTTTCAAGCTTAGTATAAGAGTGCCTAATAGTTTGTTTCCTGGAGTATTCAGACTAGATTGAAGTTTCAACTGTGTTCTTCCTGCTCAGAGGCACAAGGGGTACAGGCACGTTGGATCCTGGGGGAGGCTCCTACTATTTTGAGGGATCCAGACCTGTCAGTCTGTTGCCCTGCAGCATAATGGTCTTAGGTTCACTAAAACCCTTACGAAGGAGGCCCCTGTCACCTTGACAAACCCAGCCACTTGGTGAATGTGGAGCACCCAAAAGCACAATAACTGCAGGATCATTAAAACTCTGCTGAGCACCCTCCACTTCCTTGAAAATCCCAATTGATGGGTCAAGAAACCATCTGTATCCTGCTTCTGACACCATCTGACAACTTTTAGTGGATCTCAATATTGGGGTGTATTTAAGAAGCACTAAAGTGAGAGCTTTTACTCTTCTTGATTATCTCACTCTCTCTCATTCCCCTGTTAGCATTGTGTTCATTGGATCATGACTTCCCTTTCCATCAGGGAGACTGTTGCTTACCTGGGATGAGTGGGCATCAAGTTGTCTTGGTTTGTATTGTATTTTAGTAATTTATTTTACTGAACAGTAATTAAACAACAAATTTTCTATTAAATTCTTTTCACACAATGCTACTCCTGCCAAAGACTTTAATATTATCCCTAGTTTTAGCAGAATTATATCTTGTTCTGAATATGAGTTTTGCTTGTAAACCTGACCTAAATTATAAGATAATAAACATAATTGTTTATCCTTTTCACCTTATTAATCTTTACCTCTTTTATAGGAAGTAAACCAATTCAGAATAATACAAAACCATAGGCACAAATAAGGAAGGTCATGGGTTTAAATCCTTGGGGTACACTTACTTTCCCCGTTTCTTCACATTTCACTCCACACAAACTATCCTTTCCAGCTCATGATGTAACATTATTAAATCTTTGCTAGAGATGTTTTTAAACTTTCACCTACTGCTCTGAGATCAGAGTAATTTTTGCAGAGCTAATTATCTTTGAATCAGATAAATTAGTATTATCATTCTTACCTGCTCAGATAGTAACACAAGGAGAAAGAGAACAAAAGAAAAGGGCAGAACTGTATCCTGCGGTATCCCATACTACTGTGCTTCCATATATAATTGCTACAGTAGCACTCACAAAAGGAGCACCTATGATAACTTCCAAGGTACTGCTTCACTGGCTAACAGCTCACACACTACATTTCTACCGCTTGGTGAAACTGCTCAGTACATACAACTTCTCCTGGCATTCCCCTAGGTCCGACAGGTCCTGGAGGTCCTTGTAGCCCCTGTGAAATAACACATGCTTGAGGTAAAAGTCAACACAACCACTGTAGTTCAGTGTAAAGTGTTCTCATATATAAATAGATGACAACATCTGGCATTAATAACTGTCTTCTGCATGGAGTAAGAAGTACAGAGTTTGCTTATTCTCCCTTAATCTAATGTTTAGTCCAATAAATCTTTGGGACTGATAAATACAAAATCCAAAATATGCATACAAATCAAATACAAGTAATACAAAGGAACTGTCTAAAGGGAAAGACAAAAGAAAAGGAGTAAATCAAGATTTCCTCCCATAAGGGACAGATGTAGACGTGATTTTTTTTAACTACTTTGTTGGTGTTACTTCTCTTTTTGGAATACTTCTCATTAGAAGGACTCCAGAGCACTGGAAAGAAAAGGGGATTGAGATGTAGAGATAGAAGGATGACTTGGTGCAAACCCTAATGATCCTTGGGTCTCTATGAGCCTCTTCTTGAAGTTGTACATTGTGAAGATGGCCTAGGTTTTCACTGCAGTTACAACCAGTATTTCAGTAGCTCCTACCAAGGACATTAGCCTCCAAAGAGCAGTCTAAGGAATTAGGAGTGGAAAATCATTTTTAAGACCACAGTTTTGTGGACCCTGTAGCTGCATCTGTTAATTCCTGGACTTCATTTGATGATCTCAGGAACTCAAGTACTATGATTTCAACAGGAATACTGTTGGGTGGAGGTTATATTTTCCCTGTTTCCAGTTCTACCATTATTTGAGAAAATTCAAGGCATCATGTGAAACTCTCAAAGAACATTTCTTCTTCAGTTATTTTCTTCAAAGCAAGACAATGACTACTTTGGCATTACCTGCAATAGTATAGGATTAAACACAAGAACCACTAATGAACTGGCAGTGGTTACTCACTGGTGGATAACGAATACATCCAGCTACTGGTGGGTTTGTAATTGCAAAATGGATGCTCATATTATTGAATGATCAAATAACATTTAGGCTTTGCATAAATATTTCTTGCTGAGTTACCCTGAGATCAACAAGAATTTTATGAACTAAAAGCAAAAAAGCCATAATCCATGCACAAAATTTTGATATAAGCACTCTCTGCCCTTTAATACTAGCTAAAGAATTGATAGCATTCATCTACGTAGCTTATATAACAGCATAGAATGCAATGTCTGTTAATTCCACAAATATACCTTTTGCCTACCTTAGATCCTGGATTTCCAATCAGACCAGGTGGTCCCGGGTCTCCTGTTTCACCCTAATGATATTGTTTGAGAAAATAAAAATATCCAAATTTACTGTTACGACTCCCAGTACACCTCTGCACACCAGTGATGTATATATAGTGTGTATAGGTCAAAACATACCTTACTTCCTTTTGATCCTTCCATTCCAGTTTCTCCCTGAAAACAGTAGGTATAACCGTAAGAAGTTAAAACTTTAACTAAGACCAACTATGAGTTTAATTTGCTACCTTAAAATATTATAACGTAGTTGGTAAACTTAACAAATATTGAGAAAATATTAAAGAATTTCTGATGGCTTGAGTAAACTCTGAATGGCATTCCTGTTTCGAACTAATTCTGTTTGCAGGTTTTCCTAGTGTTTTAAAGAAGAAACGTTCAAAAACATCGCATTTGCTTAAAAGCTTCTCCAGTCTAAAGCCTATTCTTCACCACTAAATCTCCACTGGTGAGACAGTATTAATCTAAAAACCACACGTTATTACAGTATGCCTCATTTTGGTTATTATAATATATTAATCTGAAGTATCTGAGCAGCCTTCAGTTGTGTATTAAACAGCATAAGTAGCTGTTGTCAAATGTTCTAAGAGAGAATTAATAGTTAATTAAAAATAAGCAACACATTTAAACAGACTCTTACAGAATGAGTGTTCTGAAAATATCCCCCAAAATAACAAAAAAAATTAAAAATGCACACATAAGATGGCCATAAGAAAACTACCTGATATTAAATGCCACACTGGAGACTGGTAAAACGATTAACATAGAAGAATTCAGCCCACCTATAATTTTGTGAAATAACTGAAAGAATGAACCTTCAGGGAACTAAAAAAAGCATGTCATTTAAACTCAGTTCATGGACTGTTCCAAATACAGAAATGCTGAAGAACAGGGCATCCCTGTTTTTTATTTATAACCTGCATGAACCTGATGCAGGTTTAAGAAGGAAACAATACATATGGTACCCTCCATAACCACTGAATTTAATAAAAGTGTACAAAGAAAAGAATTACAGCGTGAATAGAGTATGGAAAAAATATCAAATGTGAATTACTCGTATCATGATTTCAGAACATAGCTATACTCACTGGATCTCCCTTGTCCCCTTTTTCAGAAGGCTCTCCCTATGGAAACATAAAGAAGAGGTTAAAACAAATTTATTTCAAATGGCAAATAGCACGTATGTCTGGTTTTCGTAAAGTCCTTGAAAAATGTTGTTTTTTTTTTTTTTAAACCTATATAAAACATAAGTATATGGATTACAAAAGTTTACTTGAGAGATGATGTTGACTTAATGACAAGACCATGACATGTGTGATCCTTTTAAGCAAGGAGCAGAAGGGAGGGTCAAGAACATGAACTAAAGACTGGCAATATATACAAATCTGACAAATTCTCAAACACAAGTACTTTATAACACACAAAATTATGAATCTGTCATATTGATAGAGTACAACAGTTACATGCCTGCATGAAAACTATTTAGACACAAGGAAATGACCAAAGAAAACAAATGGAAGCTTAACAGCTGAACAGCAAAATGCTCATTATTCAGTGGATAAAAAAACTTGTGTATATCACATGTTCCTAGAAAAATACAATACATTCCTATTCCTCAGTAACATTCCCCACCCCAAGTCTTTCTGAGAAATTTAAGCTTAAATAAAAAAAAAAATCAAATGAGGGAATTTATTTATAAATTTTACTAGTTTAGACTCTGTTTCTTCGTAAAGATATTGGAGATTTCATTGTAACTTGAAAAAATATGAATGGTGTCTAATTCATGAAACAATCACTGATCACAAACTTATATAAACATAATCTTAAACTGGTATTCAGTCAAAGTTTGAGTATGGTTGAAGTTAAGGACTTTATGAACTGTTGGGACAGGTAAATTTACTTGTAGACATAAAGAGTCTCTCAAGAATGGGCTTAAGTAAATTACTAAGGACATTCAGAGACTGACAGCTATGCCTAAATGTATTTTTTTATTCTGAGTATATTTTCCAAGATTTGATTTTTCAAATTAATTGATTCAGCCACCTTCTAGCACCACACAAGCACAGAAGCAAGGAATTAATTTACCTTTTCTCCTTTAGCACCGGTCATTCCCAATTCTCCTTTTTGACCCTTTTAACAAAATAAATTATATTTTAAATATTTTATATTCTAAAAAATGCAAATAAACTTTTCTCAAATGTACTTTGTTCTGTGTAGAGCACAAAATGATAACTTTTATTGCAATGGAAATCTGTGCTTTAAACATCATATTAATTGAAATGACTGCCATCTACAGCAGAGATTCAGGCTTCTCAATAGAAAATGTTGTCAATCCTGTCACATAGACAGAGCACTAGACAGAGCACTAGACAGAGCACTTTCCTCTCTTCTTCCAAGTTTGAAAAATGTCCAATTGTTAAGAATTCATTCCACTGTTTAAACAGGACAGATGCCTACAAACAATATATTGCCTTATGGTGTAGATTCAGAATTTGACCACAAAATTTTTAGAGGCTGATTTTAAGTATTTTTGGTATAGCAAGTCCCATTGTTATAGAGAAACTGCTTTAAATATTCACCATTTAGTAGTAAAGGATTTTCTGAATTTCAACTTTTGCAGTCCTTTTCCCCATAACCAGCTGGCCACCTCATTTGACTTGTCCTCAGAGAGTGATGCAGAAACCACACTTACTCCTGAATTTTCCCTTTCTGGTTATTGTATATTACAGAAGAAAGGCTTATGTGCTGCACATGCAGGACAACAAGGTGAGTCCAGTATTGGAATATAGAGTTTAAAGAGCTAGTCATATCTAAACATTATTCTTTCAAAGACCATTGTGATAAAGCAAATCAAATATACTGTGTTAAGGGTGTCAGGTTAGACAGACACTTAGAAATTTCTCCAATTTAATCTGAAATCCTTACAATGTCTCCCTTCAGGCCTTTAAGTCCAGGAGTCCCAAGTAATCCTAGTAGTCTTGTATCGCTCTGGGAAGAAATATCACCAAAACCATCATGTAACAGGACATGTCACCATTTATTCACAGTAACAATGTATTTACAATAACTATTTAATGTAATTTACGAGTATGTAAATTCACAAGTCCTAATTTACTATTAGAAATGGGTACTAAATGCCTATATAGTACATCTAATTAATGTACCGCAGCAACACATCCTTTGTCATGCATTCATATTCCAGTCAGACTAGCAGAATATGAACAAAAGCATAAAAGGGAAATGTCTATGTTGAATGCTGTTATGCAAATCTGGGTGTTGGTTTTTTTAACTCAGTGCAAAGAACTTATGCTCCTTATTACAGTACATTTCTCAAGTATGTTAGAAAAGAACAATAAAAATTATTTCTATGACAAAACCACAAGCTTTTTACTTTTGAGCAGCATGAAATGTCGAATTAATTTAGCCTAGTACTGTAGTGAGACAGAAGGAGAGGGAATAATATAATCAAAAGGCTCCTCACTGCTCCTCAAAGAAAACAGACAGATTTAAGGACCAGGGGTTCAGCCTGTATACTTGCTCAGGTATTATTGCACCACATTTATTTACTCTTCTGTACAAGGTAAAGAGACAATAAAATACAAACCAAATGGTTTCCTCTGCACAAAGCCAGGTTCAGACTACCTAAAGGGAACATGTTCTCTTTTATTGACAATGGAAAAAGCATCAAAACCAATGACCCTGAAAAATGAGCTCAAGTCTGGATACAAGGAGGTCAAGTCCTATAACATCTACCACTGGGCTGAATGGGAACCCTGAGCAAGCCAACTTCCCCTGCCATGTTCCAGACATATGTATGTATGGATATGTATGTCCGTATGTATGTATCCAAACATATCTCTAAAACGGGAAAACATCATGGTGAGTAAAAGTGGCATTTACACTCTGTTAATGTTTTCAGAAATTGATAGCTGAATATAATCTAAATAAAATTTGCAGTTCTTTTCCACATGTTAATGTCCTGAAGGATCTTCATTGGTGTTTAAGGTTCCCAACAGAGTTACTACCCTAATTATCAAAATAGGCCCAAGAAGAAGATGCCCAAAGAAGGGAACCTGAGGAATGGAGAAAAAGATAAAAAAGGGTATTAGATCAAATAACTACTTTTATGCTCTTCGCATATTTATAGGTCATTTGCTCTTTATAACAAAATGTAAGTAAAATATGCCTATGAAAAAAAATCTTAAAAAAGTAATAATGAATTATTCAATAATAAGCTATAATTATAATGAGTTATAATGATTTGGAAACATCTCCTGAGCAGATCCTGAGGTAGTTTCAACTGCTTTTTGCTGTGGTTTCATTTTTATTTTTATGTGTTGGGAGAACATTTTAGATTCAACTGACCTGTATGCCCTTTCCAAAGATGCGTAAAAGCAGGTTTGACTGAAATAATCTTCTACGTACAGAAAACTGGTAAGTGAAAAAGATGACAAGCAGATGCCTTGAAAACCCAGGCAAAGGATGGTAACAGAGGTCTGAGAGTGTATAAACACTAGTCATGAGACCTCATTTGCCAATCATTGAAGGAAGCTAACCTACAGTGCAGGGCAGAATCAGCTTCTTGGCATAATGAAGAGAGCAAAATGCATGTTTAGAACACAACAAAGCATCTCATTTACACTGAAACCACAAAAGACATAAAAGAAGGAATGTAAAAATAGCCATGCCTTGCAAGAACAGGCACAAAGCATGAACGATGAAGGAAGGAATGCTCCAGCACTGTCTCCCACCCCATTAAGGATCAATGCTACTATTTATCTTCAGCAGGTTTCCCTCACCTTCATTAAAGGAAGACTGCTGATCTTAGTTTGCCATTCAGCACAATTTGCTGCCACAATCAGCAATTGTATTTATAGTGCTCTTTTTTCACTGTACACATAGATCAAGTAAATTATGCTTTTAAAGATTTGCACTCCAGCCTCCTTACATGATAAGGGGATTGATACTGAGCCAGAAAAAGCTTGGTTGCAAGAAATTATTTAAACACATTGTGCAATTACAACTACTCATAGATGCCATACAGAAGTCAGAAGAATCTAATCTGCTAAGAAACTGAGAAATTATAGAAAAAAAGACATTACTAATCATGAGTCTTAAGAGCTCTCTCACTGATCCCCCACATTTTTTTGGTAGCAGTTTCTCATGATTTCTAGAAAACCAATGCAAAGAAGCCATCCTAATATCCGGGGGGGGGGGGGGGTGTGTGTATGTGTGTGTATATAAATAAATTACACCACAAATGTGGTCACAATTTAAACACTTTAACACTTTAAAAATCCAAACTCAAAGAAGACTTTGTGAGATCCTTAAGAACATGCATAAAATGTAAAATGTCAAGACCGTTTCCTGTGGTGTAAGGCGTCTCAAAAACCTCAGAATATCACTGAGCTGTCATCTTACAAATGCAAGTAATTGAGGCAGACTGCAAATTATACACTGGAATGTGAAAGACTGCTTGGTACCTCCAAGATACAGTGAACAATATCAGCCCTCATCATATCACACAATAGTGGGGGCGGGGGGGGGGGAAGGAAAGTTATTGGTGCATACATCTGCTTAATTGAATTATCAATGGCAAAGCAGACAAGCTGTCCTTCTCTTTGATGACCTCTTTGATGTCTTTGTCTTGTCCTTGATGGGAATATCCCATCATAAACTATATAGAAACTAACATGTCTGCTGTAGCAGTTGGAGACTTAAAAGTTGACTCTGGAAAGATCTGAACATGTAGCTACAGGAAGTTTGTGTGTTTAAAACCTGCTACTCAGATCAGAAAGCCATCTCCTCTCTCATTTGAAACCAAAGAGCATTTCCTTGTTGAACAGTTAATTGCTCATGACAGAGTCATTAAAATCTTCAATCTAGACAGCTGAAGGAAGAAGAAAGTTGGTAAGCTGCACAGGGTTTAAAAGATGATTAATTTATAGACACAAAGCAGCTGGCCCACATTTTTTCCAGAGTATTTCTAATTAGTAAATATAACCTTAGGAATCTTAGAACCTTACAGTGATAAGAAACATGATTTTTGGTGACAGATGCCTGCCAGTTCCTGAAGATCACAACTTGTTTGTATTTCTTTCTACAGAATTAACCTTAAAGGGATAAAGAGATTAATGATCAGGAGGCAGGGAATGAGTTACAATAAATATGATATTGATAGAGGAAACGGGACTGGTATCATTGAAAGCTATCTTTGGCAGAAAAAAGAAACTGGTAAGAAACGTATAAACAATCTAAAATACAAAAAAACTTCAACACACATATATGAAATGGCAGATCAAACTCAGAAACTAAGTCTCCAGCTATGAAAAAGTCTCTGTCCAGGACAGCATATAAACTATGCTTAATTCCTAATGCATATTTTAAGGTGATACACAGATTTGGAATGGATTAAATATTAGAGAAATCACTGCACTTCTAAAAGTAACTGGAAAGATATGTTTGACATGAAATTCGCTCCAGATTCCCTATTCAAAAAAAGATTTTAGTACTCATTTGTGTATGTTATATAAGAAAAATATCAGAAATTCACCTGCTCCTTGTAGTTATGCATTTTAATACTAAAAGGATGTCTTCCAGGTTTGACTTGCATGATGATGAACACGACTTGCATGATGATGACATGTGATGAACACAGTAATTTTTATATTTAGCAACTATTACTGTAATAGTGCTTCATCAGTCTTTGAATGAAATTTAATTTTCTAATCAGGTAAGTTACATTCTAAGAAAACTTGTGTTTTCTCTGAATTAAGATCCCTTACAATGGCAGACACTACCACTGCTTAAATGATTTGAAAAATCTGTGATGTTAATGTAAAAGCTCTGCCACATGGAAAGATGTCCTACTCAATTTTAACTTTTTTCTATTAAGTGCTTGTAGCTGCAGGAGGTTCTATAATGAAGACAATATTTTGTTAAGTCTATAATACAAACATCAGGACAATTCTCATGGATTGCTAGCAGATCTTTTAAAATTATGCCCCCTTGTCTTTCTATTCTACTTTTATGATCATAACAGAGTAGGTCAAGAAAGAAGAAATGTCGGTTTAGACATTTAAATGTCTAAATGTTATTCAGACATAGAGGAAAAATACGGTTAGAGCAATTAGGTTTAGAAATGGGAAGCTGGTACTGTTATGCTAACAGCTAGGTGGTCCACCAATCTCCTTTTTGAGTCATATACAAGCAAAAATACATGAGAAGAAGATGGATGGGATGCAAGCCACATGTCAGCAGGATATATGACACAGTAGGTATGTGACTGGAGGGTAAACTGAGCCTTTGAAGGATGCAGAAAGAGGACAGGGAAGGATCTACCATTTGAATTAATTTGGAATGTGGTTCACAGGGATCAAAACTGTCATTATTTCTATGTTAGACACTTCCTAGCCATAAACACACACACACACACACACACACACTATAAAATCTCCATACCTCATTATAATGTTTGTTCAGTGAATCCAGAATTCCTTTTAGTCCAGAAGGACCCTATATGGAAAACAAAACAAAATTAAAAAAAAAAAAAAAAGAAAAAAAAAGAAAAAAGCAGAAAGAAAAAAAACAACTGAAGGTCATTTTAATTTAACATTTTATTTAACTAATGTTATATTGTAAGAGCAGTGGTCATGTAAAAGGGTTTTGATTTTTATTTTACTATACAATAAATCATTTTCTGTAAGTTCATTATAACTTCTTTCTTTCCAGGCACAGAGGAGAGGGAGAGCCAGTTTCTAAATCCCTGAGTTTTGAACACTGGCAGCTTCTTTTGGATTGAATCAGTCTGTTAGAGAAAATGAGGGACTCTTCATTAGGGTCTGTAGTGACAGGACAAGGGGTAACGGGTTAAAACTTAAACAGGGGAAGTTTAGATTGGATATAAGGAAGAAATTCTTTACTGTGAGGGTGGTGAGGCACTGGAATGGGTTGCCCAGGGAAGTTGTGAATGCTCCATCCCTGGCGATGTTCAAGGCCGGGTTGGACAGAGCCTTGGGTGACATGGTTTAGTGTGAGGTGTCCCTGCCCGTGGCAGGGGATTTGGAACTAGATGATCTTAAGGTCCTTTCCAATCCTAACTATTCTATGATCCTATGATTCTATAACATTACTGCAGCACACCAGAACAACAGGTATGTTGAGATATCATCACTAAATTATGAAACATCATCCTATGCATTTTACTGTGATTAAAATTTTACAGAAAGATAGTGGTACTTAAAATATTAGGATACATTAGGAAAATTTAGAAACATCATAGGTGCCTCACTCCCTCTCTGTTCCCCAGTATCAGCAGAGATACAATGCCATAAATTTTTTCATTTTATTTCAGAAGTGAATTGTCACTTCAAATTTATGTTGCAAAATAAGATAAATATAGTCATAGCATTTTGCCTAAGATGCTTACTCAGCTCTGATTTCTGAAGTTAATGGCAGAACTTTCACTTTTGACAGTGCCTACTTATTAGATACCTCAATGCCAACTCTCTAATCCCATAGCTTCAAATCCTTGAATCCAGAATCATTGCAGGACTTTCTAAGCCTGCAGGCAGTCAAAAAAGACAATTCTTTCCTCCTTCTTGTTTCCCACCATGTTGTTTCCTTTACTGTTTTTCTATAAATGAAACTGCTGCAACCATATAACCCAGAAAGGACTGAATGCTGTTTCTGCCACCAATCCCAGCCTCTCAGATATTTCTGACAAACTGGAAAGCCTTTGTACATGTAACGGTTTTGAAACATAATCTCAAAACCCCACAGAACTGCCTCATGACTTAGGCAGTCAAGGGAACTTAAGGCATTTGGGTTGCATTCTTGACTGCCACAGCCTTTTGTTACCAGAGGTAAAACACTTCCTCTGGTTTTAGTCTTTCCATTTTCAATATCTGACATACATTTAATAATTTTATCTTTATATCAGTCTTTCTAAAATAAAATTAATAAAACCAGTGTACAACAACAGAAAATACTTTTATTCAAGGGTGTTTTCCTAAACTCTAGTCTTTCTTCCCATCCATGCTGTTTCTCTCCACTAAGATAGATGCATACATAATCCACTCAAATGTCTCTACAGACAATAAGGAATCAGTAGTACTGGCTTGCAAGTGAATAAGCAATAAAATTAACAGGAGTTTAAGAATTATTTTACAGGCAATTTCTAGCTTTGGAACGAGAATTTTGCACATCTGCCACTTCGAAGCTCACTTGTGTGGGGTTTCCTTTTTATATTTTAGTATCAAGTTGTGTAATTGAGGGAAATGAAAAACACAAAGTGTACAATTGTACAAATAAGAACTGAAATGTATCCTGATTGTTTTCCAAAATTAAAAACAGATTTTGGATATTATTTCTATAGACAAGGCAGGAATAAAAGCACAGGTGCTTAAAAGGAAATAGCTTCAAACTGTGAAATTTCTGAGGTTTGTATTTTTCTCTGTTAACTTTTATAGTTAATCTGCATTGCTGTAAAGATGAGACTGCTGAAAAAGTCTACTCAATCTCACAGTCCATGCAGTAAACTGTATAACAACTAAATTGCACTGGTTGCATATCAAGAACAAACCATTTTGGAGAACACAGCCCTGCAAGTGACTAACTGTAATCATTTTATTCATCTATTTCAAATGTATGCCTGTCCATTAAAATAAAACACTGTTTGTCTGATCACTATAACATAAATAATCATGAAACTCATCAGTGCAGATGTGCAGTATTGTATAACTATTCCAAAGAGAAAACAGAAAGAATGATGAAGGCATGATGTCTACCAGGATAGAATACATGTAATAAATTACATTTTGATATGGATTTAAAAAACTTAAATGCATAGAAAAAAGCAATATGACCACCCCTTGCCAGCCATTCCCATCTTACTGTGTAAGCATTTCCAATATTCTTCTAAAAAGCAGCTAAAAGTCCAGAAATACCAGAAATGCTACTGACAATTTTCACTTATCATTGCTTTAATTTTCTGTTTATTGTAATTAACTGATAACATTCATTCATTTTCAAAATATTGGTAGAGAAATGAGTATTTTCCGAGGCAATGGAAATGGAATTTCTCAGGCAAACTGCTGGCTACTTAAGATAACTAGTTTGGTGGCATTGACAAACATACTGAATAAAAAGGAACCAAAAGTGTATGGAATTAAATGAAGAAATTTATTCTCAGAAGTAGTCTGTGAACTTCTCCACTGCCTCACATGCAAACAAAATTGAAACCCTATTTTAATTTAAGACTTTGAGGAGTAACAAAGCTAATCTTCCTAGCAAAAATAGTTGTGAAGATAAAAGATACCAAGTTCAGCCCCTTGTGAAGGTAAATAATAAACTGAATGATAGCTCCAAAGACTACAGAAATCATGAAATAAATGTACCCTGGTTGCAAAGAACAACTTTGGATATACCGGTAGAGAACAGCACACTTAAGAGGACAAATAATCCTGATTGCAGTGTACTAGGCTGTGACTTAGCATTCCCAAAATTTCTTTCCCGCCTCTGCCACAGACAGCTTCTTAGCCAAATGGCACTTGGCACTTGGCCAAACCAGGTAGTCCTGATGTTTCCTACTGTCCTGTAGATATAATTGCTATGTCCTGTAGATATTTCTGTTAACAGTAGCGGCAGAATAAAGCTGTCAGTTCTGTTCTGAAGCCAGATCAAAATGGTATACTTACAACCTCACAGCATTCTACTATCACAGTATTTCCTTTTGTTTCACAAAGTCAGCATTTCAATTTCAGTGAAGAGCCATGCCAAGCAGGAAAACAGCATGTGAAAGAGACAGTATCTTTTTCAGAAGACTTTAGAAGAAAATGCTAGCGAGAAAATGTATGAAATAAATTTGAAGGGTACAGAGATTTTGATTTCACAATCGTAATTTTCAGAATGTTTCTGAGAGTGAAATGAATATTGTATTTAACAGTTTTAAATTGCTCTCCAGGCTCTTTAAAAGGGGAGAAGGGATCAGAAAGCACTAGAGGGAGCTGCTGTTCTACCTAACCCATTTGAATTCCTCGTTTTCAGCATAAATTGTTACCTGCTGGAGTTACACAAGTGCAAGCACACATTTTGTATAGAAATAACAGAACTGTACTCAAAACTAACATCAGACAGCAAGGATGCAAACCATGAATTCTGAACCAGAAGGGAATAACAGAACACTTTGAAAGACTGCAACATTTAATAAACTTTAAAAAATACTCAAAGGAGGAACATCATCTGCATAGATGAAAATTTTTTTATAACCCATCAATAAAAATCCTCATTGACCCCTTGCTTTTTATAGGCACAGGATTTGCTCCAAAGGGAAAAAATGACATAAAAGAATGGATAAGAGAAAAATGACACAAAAGAGTGGATACCTGGTACAAAAGATGGAGTCCCATTTCAACCAAGTAGTTTCATCACCAGTTGCCCAATCTATCTGTATTTCTAACACTGACATAGGTAGTTAACCAAAGATGTGAGATTGTTAGCAAATGATGTTTAGGGACTAAAAAGTCACTACAAACATCAATTTTACTGGAAGTAAAAAAAAAATATCCCCCAGAAATTAGCTTAGGGAAAAAAAAAAGAAAAAAAGGTATGAGGTATTGAAAAAGGGTTAGAAAATAGGTAAAAAATGATTACTTTAAGCAAAACTCACACCATTTAGTAGTGTCCAGTTGTTCTTTTTGACTGTTAGAATGTGGTATCTCTCCCTGCACCCACTTTTTCTTGGAATGTGCTTTATACCAAACCTCTGGGCATTGGACCCTGTTTACAAACTTGCTCCTCATGGAGGCAGATCTTTCCTTCTCTTAGGTTTGTTTTTGTCCTTACTGAACAGCTGGCTGCTCTAATTTTTAAATTAAGTATTTAATGCCATGGCAGAGTTTGATTAATAAATTAGGTAAATTTATTAATTTCAAACATGCAGTGTGTACTGTAGCTACCCTAAAAACTGACTGAATATCTTTTTCTCAAATTCAAATTCGAGGGCCATGAGGATGATCAGGGGGCTGGAGCACCTCCCATATGAAGATAGGCTTGAGAAAGTTGGGGCTGTCCAGCCTGGAGAAGAGAAGGCTGCGTGGAGACCTCATAGCAGCCTTCCAGTATCTGAAGGGGGCCTATAGGGATGCTGGGGAAGGCCTCATGATTAGGGACTGTAGTAACAGGACAAGGCGTAATGGATTCAAACTTAAACAGGGGAAGTTTAGATTTGATATAAGGAAGAAGTTCTTTACTGTAAGGGTGGTGAGGCACTAGAATGGGTTGCCCAGGGAGGTTGTGAATGCTCGATCCACGGCGCTGTTCAAGGCCAGGTTGGACGAAGCCTTGGGTGATATGGTTTAGTGTGAGGTGTCCCTGCCCATGGCAGGGGGGTTGGAACTAGATCATCTTAAGGTCCTTTAAAATCCTAACGATTCTATGATTCTATGATTCTATTCTTTCAAAACATCAACCAAATACCAAACTTACTTTTGTTGAAAAGTCTAATTTTTCCATGTTCAGTCAATCTCTTAAGCATTTTGTACCCTGCATATGCCAAATTTCTTAAAGCAGCCTCCCTGCAGGTATGATACTCTGTTGCACTTTGGAAAGGCCAAAGTAAAGGCCAACAATATATCCATGCGCATGAGAAAGCTGCCACTACTTAATATTGGAAGAGGTAACTAGAAGCACAATATAGCCTTGAAAAAGAGATGAGGAATGATAGACCATGTCAACGTCTTTTTTTTGTATGTACAGGCTGTAGCAATTTAAACATGCTACATGTTTACGTGCACATTAGCAGGCATTACTGCTTCTAGAGCATGCTTTTTCTATGCGTTATATGTTCAGTCTTGGAAGATGAACACAAGATGCTGGTATAGCTGTATCCAAAGGACTGCATTAAGATAGTCAGAAACAAATACTTTTAACCAATATTTAGGCTGTGGCTGCAGGGCTAGGCTATGGCACTCATACAGAGCTTCCTTGTATGAATGCTGCTATGCTGACAAAGTTGAGCTTTCTACTTGCTGTAAAAACAATATGAACTAGGTCTCAGTAATTAAAGTGCAGTTTAGTTTTTACTAAAGATTTCTGGTATATCTGCTAAGGATCATACATCTTCACAAGCCTGGCCTGCCAGCAAAACTGTGATGGCAGAAATCTGTAATGGAGAAACAGCTTTTCACTGGCTCACAAAAAGCTATGTAGATTAGGTGCAACACTGACCTCTGCCACGGTTTGCCTTTTTAATTTTTCTTTTTTTTTTTTTCATTTGTTTTATAAACGATTCTGCATCACTCCTTTCCTCTGCTCAGACTTGTGCAGACTACAGTACTATTTCAATATTAGGAAGCCCAAACTGTACAAAAGATTCAAATGAGCAAGACTTCAATACGACTACATGTAGGGGAGAAGAGGAATGAATTTTAAACTCTTTAGTTTTATACAGGATAACTGAACTCCATCATTAACTCCTCTTTCTGAATATATTTTGCAAAGAAAAAGGGAAAAATATTTATAAAATTTTAGATGGATTTAAATGTCATCTATTTCATTTTAGCCACTGTATTTTATGCAGCAATTCATTATTCTCCTCTCTACAAATAAGACAAGTTTTTCCTTGCAGTGAGGCTGAAGCACATGAATCCAATGTTCTAATGCATAAACTGCTATCCTTTCTTTACCTATTTCAGGCAAGCAGAAAAAGGAATTATTAAATCCTTGTTTAATACTAAGAATGTAAAGCAGCAACAGTTTACTTAATCCACAAATAAACAGCTGTTCTGTATTTGTGCACAACAGCATTTTTACATTATATATAGGGAATTTTACAAACATGACTGAGTCTTCCTCTACCAGAGGAAGGCTGTGCTCATTCTAGACTAACATACGTCCATGCCTGACTTCAAATTTGAAATCATGTATCTTTTACAGGAAAAAAAGAAAAAATTAAATCCCAAACTTCTTAGATCTGAGCTAAACCCTTTAGTTCTTCATATTACAAATCCTTTCACCGAGTCACGTACTTCTTAATATTTTTAATTCTTCAGTAAACTCATTTGAACTACAGCTACAGTGCTAAGTAAACTCATTTGAACTACAGCTGAGTGCTCATTCCAGTGCTGGATATAATCCTCCTCACCATTCAGGCAGTTGGCACATGCTGCACACAGTCCTTCACCTTTCAAATTACCCCTCTGAGACGGAAATTATCCCATCTTTTACAGAACATCACACATTTTGCAAAGCGAATGAATGCAGAGTATTCACATTTAGCATACATGTCCAGTCTTTTTTTGAATGCCAATTTCAGCTTCCTCCACTGAAGTCCACATCTTGCTCTTTCTCTCCTGTGTAGTCCCTTGTATTTGTGGACCCAATCCTTTTATCTTTGTTGTATCAAAAGGCTAGCAACAGTAGCTGCTTGGTACAGCAAGGTACAAATGGATTAATTGTTTTCAACCACAATTAACAATTAACCTGCTATAAAAATGCTGAAAAATTCCAGGATAAACTGAAAATTTCCCATTCCCCTCCCTAGTTACTCACAGGAGGTCCTGGTGGTCCTGGGTTTCCTGGGGGGCCTGGTTTTCCACGTCTTCCCTGGAAACAAAAAAGAACAACAGACACTTATAAATGCCATAACTAATGACCGATTTGGAATAAGAATTCTGTCTAAGAAAAGATATATTGCCTTGCTTATTTGTAAAAAATTCAAAACCTATCCAAAATGAACACTCTGTATCAGTCACTTCAAATACTTTTAGGATTGTTTATAATAATAATTATGACAAACTGTATTTGCATCATTGAAACATTTACTGTGACATTTTAAAACTATGTCTCAAATGTGAGTGCACAGTGATAGGGCTATAAACAGAGCATCTTGATGATGTGCAAAGAAATTACATTTTATCTGAATACACCACATGTTGGGATGTTAAACTGTGCTGCAGTAGTCACCCTGACTTGCACAGTAAATGCATATGCACAATATAACCCACTTAAGGAACACCTTCACCAGGATATAACAAGGAGAAAAGTCAGAGATTTATTTGCAAAACCAATTCACCTTCTTCATGCAATTACTACCATCTGTGTATATAATGCACATGTAAAATCATTTGCATTAAAAATTAAGATCCATAAAAGTCTACTTAAGTTAATGGAAAATTTTCCACTCAGATTCTAAAAATCATGCACATGTAACTATTAAAAATTTTTAGTACAGAGCTTGACTGAACAACTGCTGTTTTCACATACGCCTTTTTTTTTTAGCAAGATCAACATAAAAATGGATGTAATTTACTGTAATTTACATCTTTATTGCCAAACTGAAATCTGATGCACATTTTTTATAAACAACAGCTGAGAACAACTAATACCTAGGTGAGATGGTGAAAAAAATAATTTACATATGGCAAATGTAAATTAACTTCTTAAGCCAAGTTTTCACCAGGACATCCCTGTAATGCTTTTTGTTAAAAAATGAAAATGCTTGCTGACAGCTCACAATTAGCACATAGGGGTATTTCTGTAAGCTATGGTCCCTCCTGCTAAGCCTCCTTCTGTGTTTTATTAAATGGCAATCTCAGACAAACTACAGAAGTAATCTAAGGAACAGAAAGTGAAATCTCAGCTTCCCTCTTTACAGGTGAGAGCCTTGATCTATAGGAAATCAACACTCAATCACTCTAATGCTCTGCCTTTCATTAATCTTCACGTATGCTGAGGGGAAACAAGACGATGACAGTAAGGGTAGAAAATCCCTCTTCCTCCCTCCTGTAGCTCACCAGGGCAGTGAGCTTGCAGAGGCATTTACATGTCTTGCATAGACACTAGGGACTCTCCTGAGAAGCAGGACTTTGAGCCCTTCAAGTTGAAGAACCGAACAGGGGTTGTAGGGATGTGTTTCATTCACTAGGCTGTGCCACATAAAATCTACACTGCCACTGTGGTTGTACGAAAGTCCTCAGTCAGTCAGTGTGTTTTAAGGGCAGTGTGAAAAAAAATGTACTACCTCAGCATATTTGGAGTGACAAATTCCTGGGTCTTAACTAGCTGAGACATACGTTATGTGCTGAGCTGGTTAATCCCACCAGTACTCGCACATGCAGGGCTGTAACTAGGGCAGCTTAGGGCAAATTTTCAGAACCAACATGCGGTCCTAGGTGCCCCACTGGGCTCAGGGCTATACTGCTACTTACTACCCAGCCCCAGCATGTCCTCTGCTGTGTTGGTAACACTGTCCACACAGCCCTGTGATGAGCCCGAGATGGGAACCCATCCGGGGTAAGGACAGCCCACAAAAAACAGCTGCTTCTGACTTTGATCAGCTCATTGATGCAGTTCACTGGGCAAGCAAGTAGACTGACAGAGGGCACAGTACTGGAAAAGGCACACATGCATGATAAAAAGGGGCTATTAGCTAGATCCAGACTTTGGACTGATCTTTACTTCAGAAACACAGATGGAAACTAGTATTTCCTGGCTTTTTTGAAAACCAGTGCACTTTACTTAGTATGAAAAATGGATCAAGAAGTAATGATGTAAGTAGTAAACAAATATATATTGTTTCATACTTTTAAAATAGCACCTCTGAGTTATAATGATCTACACTGTTGACTTCTTGAAGCACCTTCCTTTTCCTGTTTGGACTTATTTAAAGTATACTGAGGATGACCCTTAAAATCTCAGCAGTCTAAACAAAGTATCAAGGAAGTGTCAGAAGGAAGAAGGCAGAGCTTTGACTGGCAGACACAACTGTGAACGAGGTGTTAATTACACAGGAAAACATGAAATACGCTGGGAAGGCAATTTTATCTCTATTTACAAGATGAGCTAAAATGTGATTTATAACATGTTACAAAGCCAAAACTTCACAAACTTTCTGAGAAGTCAGTTAAAAATAAATAAAATAATCAGGGTAGTTATTTTTCACTGTCATTCATGAACTACCAGAACACCTACCAGGTGAAACACAGAAGAAACACTTGCCTACCTTTTACGCAATGATTATATTATTAGTCATTACACTATGTGTCACGTGTAAAGAAAACCTGTAGAACAATCACACAGATTGGCATGAAGCACCAGCTTCAGTTCAGGAATGACAGTCCTCTTTTTTTCCTACAAAGACCCTTCTGAACTGATATTTTAATTTTAAGACAGAAATACGTAAAAGGCCACTACCTTTCAGCAATGCCTTTCAGATAGAGATTTAAATGTTTGGGATACACACAGCCCCACCTACTTGCCAGCACTCATGCTTCCTATGACTTCCTAGCATCAGTATGGAAAAAATTAAAATATATACTATAGTAAGAGCATAAGTAAAGTAGTTTTTATTTAGCATAATTAAAACAATTAGAAGAATATTTTTGATAAGCCCATTTTGGCATTACCTTGAGCAGACCATTGCCCAGACTGTGATTAATATTTAGTTTGATTCTGAGCCTTCCTTCTGGCAAGAAAGAAGTGAAAACATCTTGGTGTCTTCTCTGATTCATAAAGTAGGCTTAGCAGAGAGCCACAGTTCCCATCTCCTTCTCAGAAGCAGGTCTTAGCAGCCCCACAAGAGCTGTGCTCACTGTCCTACAGCTGTCTCTGGGGAGGCAGCTGGCACAGGAGGCCCATTACCTTTATTTAGTTGAGTTCACTGAGCAAATATTGAGGCTATTAAACCACTTCTAGGCATTACATACCTCTTTTAACTAAATAAAAAAATGCAATACCATTTTCACTAACTTAAAAAAGACAGTTGGTGTCAATAAGTTGTCTAATGATACTTAGAATAATAAACAAAGGAAACCAAAACAGTTGCTCGTTATTTCCTTTATGGTGAATACATTTTTTTTTGTTTTCATAATGTGATAAGAAGTTGTCTAAATGTTACTAATATTGACCCTCAACTTATGGAATGTATGCCCTTAAAAATTTGGGCAGTCAGCTATTTTCTTCTTCTCCATAGGTCAAACTTCACACAATACAAACACAAATGACTCCACAAATGCTAGGTTAGGGGCAGAAAGGACAAAATATTAAAAATAAATAAGATTATATGCTTCAGCAAACCCCAGCTGAGTGCCTAGCTGAAGTGCATGGTCAACTGCACTCTTTGTTACTCCCTTTCTTTACTCTTTCTGTTAATCAAAATCACTTGATGAGCTTTGCTTTACATCAGATTGAAAACCGTTCAGAAGAAAGGCTCTGTGCATCCTTCCATAAGCTTGTGCTCTGAATCTGGCTGCTGCCCCTGGGCACTGCTGCAGGTCCAAAACACAATGCAAGAATTCAGTCTACATTGTAACCCCCTGCTGTATCACATTGCATCCCTATATTCACATATCTCTAAATATAGAAGAGTAAAATGGCTAATCCCAATGTCTAAAAATAAGATCTGGATTATTTTAGGATAAAAGTCAAGCAGAGCTGTGTAGGGATGCTGACCTGATTTATGGAATTAATAATTTAAAGAACACACACTTGAATATGAAGGGAAAAATTCTTAGAATAAGCCTGTGTGAATTTTCAAGGGAAACTGCTAATTAACTGCTCCTCAATCACATCATCGCATTTCAAAACAGGAACTAATTCTAGAGGAAGTAGGAAGCTGGGCATTAAAATCTTAACTACTGTAGTTGTTATGCAAGATTAACGAGGTTTATGTAACTCCTTTGCCAAGCTAAACTAAGATTCTCTTGAATAATTCTCAAAAGCAAACTGACAAAGGGACAGATACACCTGAAGAAGGCAGGTGGAAAGTAAAGATCACCGTCTTACAGGGCCCAACTCACGAACACCAGCCTCTTGGGCACCTAAACACTACGCAAGTGGAGCTTTGGGCAGTTAAAAGACTTTCTCCAGATGACTAAAGGTGACACCAAGCAGTCAGACAAGTCCCAGTATCTATGCTAATTCAGAGCACGGAAAAAAGGTTTTCCTTTGTCTCAGTCCTCCAAGCTGATATGCCTAGTTAAAATAAACTTCCAGTTTTCCTTCTCTGTCTGCAGTCACAACCCAGTGGTTGTGACTGGCAGGTCACCTGGGGCTTGCAGAGCTCCAATCATCTCTAACGCAGAGGAAACCGAGCCCAAAGCTGGTGACAGTCCTCTGCTCTGTGTTTTACCAGAAAAACCTTGCCAGACTGCCACTTTAGGGGAGCGAAGGCAGACACCACATGATGCTATCATTCAGTTCAGTTTTGAATAGTCAGTTCAGTTTTGAATAGTCAGTTCAAAAGATATCCAGAAGCTGAAGATTATAATTAATCACAAAAATCAGAGGAATCACCCATCTAACCCAGTTACTCAACAGTGTACATCTACTGATTTGTTGCAGGATAGGAGAAAGTTATCCAGGATCCCAATCAACTCTTTCATAGGTCACAAAGCAAAAATTTCAAATCTACAACAAGTGTGCAGCATGAATACAAAATCATTATTTTCTATCATGTATTTAGTAAAAAACTTGGCAATTTTTAAAGAGAACTTTGAAATTTAAGCACCTGACTGTACAACTGCTGTTAACAACAATGCTGTCATTAACTTTGGTAGTGTCACAATTGCAAAAGTTTGGGTTTTTTAATCCTTAGAAATTCTATA